AGTAACCCATGCTCGAAGTTCCACTCTTGGAGATCTTTCCCGAACTCTCGCTTGCCAGTTTTTAATAGGTGCTGGTAACCTTTGGTCATTTCGTCGTCTTTTAGTGCCGATTTCACTCTTTCTAGAAGTTTTGCATCATCAACTTCGGAGGAATGAGTGGCTGAGATCGCGTGGATGGCAAAATATCCGGGTCGAAGCAAAGTTTGCCCGGAATTGTCATTGCTCACCCCCTTCTCATGATCGGGCCTCCTGGACAGAGGATCGGTACGCATCATCGTCTTTCCGGGGCGGTGATGGAGAATGAAGTTAAATCGTGTAAGGTAAAGTGACCAACGAGCTTGTCGTCTGGTCAATGTCTGAGCTTGTCGGAAATAGGTAAGATTCAGGTGATCCGACCATATCTCAACGGGATGAGGGTGTCCTTCGAAGTACTGCCGATATTCTTCCAAGGCCCTTATGATAGCGAGCATCTCTTTGTCGTAAATCTCATAGTTTCGTTCGTGTTCATTGAGCGATTTAGAGTAATATGCGACTGGATGCCAGAGCTCATCTTCTCCCAACTGTTCAAGGACTGCACCTGTGGCAAAGTCCGAGGCATCCGTTTCTAATCTAAAGGGGCGGATTGCGTTGGGGAGCGCTAAAATCGGGGCGGAGGTGAATGCAGTCTTGAGGGCCTCAAATGCCTTTTGTTGAGGTTCTTCCCATTTCCATAGCGCGTCCTTACGTGTTAATAGAGTCAAGGGTCGGGTCATCGATCCGAAATCCTTGATGAATCGTCGATAGAAATTTGCCAGACCAAGGAATGCTTGTACTTGCTTTACCTTGGTGGGCACCGGCCATTTGAGCACGCCATCGACCTTCTCTGAGTCCATCTGTATTGACCCTTTTGAGATTATAAGTCCGAGAAACTTGACGAAAGTGGTCGCAAAGTGACACTTTTCTGGTTTCACGAACAGGTCATTGTCTCGGAGTCGTTGTAAGACTTCTTTGGTCAGATGGTCGTGTTCCTCCTGGTTATCCGTGAAGATGATGATGTCATCTATGTAAACTGCCACCTTTCCAGTGCGAATGAGATCGCCTAAAACGTCGTTCATCATGGCCTGGAAAGTACTAGGAGCATTACAGAATCCGAAGTACATGACAGTGGGTTCAAATAACCCTCTATGGGTAATGAACGCTGCCTTTTCCTCATCTCCCTTGCAAAGGCGTACATTATTGTACCCCCATCTCAGGTCTAGTGTAGTAAATATACTAGCCCTTGAGAGTCCGTCAATTAGATCGTTGATTCGGGGGAGTGGGAATTTGTTCTTCTTGGTGATACTGTTTAATGCCCTGTAGTCTTGGACTAGTCTAAGAGAGCCATCCTTCTTTTTGACGAAAAATACCGGAGCGGCGTAGGGGGATTTAGATGGTCGAATGTAGCCTTTGGCTTGTTCGCCATCAATCCATTCGTCGAGCGAGTTCTTCTCTCATAAGGACATTGGGTATACTTTTGCCGGTCTCGGGTTGCCGCGTCTGGGACAAGATCAATTGCGTGATCGTAGGGCTTACGCGTCGGCATCCTTTCCGAGCTCTTCTTCGAGAACACATCTCCGAATTGATGAAATTCTGAAGGGACGAATTTGGACCAATATTCTTTGTCCTGTGTCTCTTCTGCCGGCTGTTCTACCAAGTACTCCTTTACCTTCTTGCTTATGCCTAGGATGTCGTGCACCATATTACGAAGATCCTGGTCTTGCAAGTCTATCCAGTTGATGAAGCTATCTTCCTGATCCCACCCATCATCCATGTGTACGTCAGGGAGAATTGCCTCATCTTCGAGCCGAGGTTGCGATAGAAGGTTGACTTCTTCCTCGCATACTTTGACTCGTTGTCTTCTCGTGTGTCTGCATCTTGAGAACGTGACCTCTCTATGTTCCCAGTCAACTCGGGGGTTGTGTTCTTGTAGAAATTTCATGCCAAGGATCATTGACATGCGTCCAAGGTTTGTGACGAGCAAACTCTCGGTTGATCGGTGCTCCCCGATTAAGATGCTTGTGACTACACGATGAGTAATCGCACCACCCTTGTTGGAACTGGCGTCTGCGTTAAGGATTCGGATTTCATGGTTTAGTGGTATCATCTTAAACCCGTGCTTCTCTGCGAATCTTTGGTCGATATAGCAAGAGAATGCTCCTGAATCCAGTAATGCCGTTGTCTGGATTTCCCGTGATACGAATCTTATCGGCAATTCGATCGAATGTTTAGAAAAACCTGCGGATGCAATATATATATGGTCGCTAGGTACATTCGTTCTCACGGTACTAATACAATTGTCCTGAAGTGTGACACCAGACTCGTCTACACTTCGTATTGAAAATCCTCTGAGAATTCGTCAAGCTCGACGATTCTCGCATTGGTGTCCTTTGCCGTTGCCGCCGATATTGTCGATTCCATGCTCGTGCCTTTCGCCTTGCCTTTGCCCTTGCTGGACGGTGGTGTAGTCGCTGTCGTGCTCATCCCACGAAGTGCAGCAATTGCTTGTTCCAGTGCCGCAATTTGAACTGATGAGCCCGCGCTACTTTCTTCTTCCACCTGTCGCACGTTCGATGTTTTGCCCTTCCCTTTTCCTTGCCCTTGCTTCGGAGCGGATCGTGTCTGAAACCGCTTTCCCTTATATTCTGGCTTGGGGGAGGGGCACCGCTTTCCTCGTTCATAGGCGTGTCTTCCGCAAAACAAGCATAGCTTATTTGCCAGCCACCTGTCTTGTTCCGGGGAAAGTTCGTGGGCGATTCGTGCGCTTGTGTCCATTGCGTTAGGGTCCTTGGGAGCGGTCGCCTTGGTCGTCGTAGTCTGTCCAGTAGACTTGTTTCCTGTCATTTGCTGGAGATGTTTGATTTCTATCTCCAAGCAGAACTCGAGATAGTCCATCCAGGTGGTTGGAATCTTCGAGGGATCCAAAGTCTCTGTTACTGACATGACCGTTTGAATGTGAGTCGACCGTTGTTCCCTGATTTTGACGATTAGATCTTCGTCAGAGTATCCTGATTCGGGGGCGTAAGCCCTGAAATTCTCTGCGAAGGCGATCATCGTCTTGTGGCGTATTGCGCAGTGTGCATCTAGCAGGGATTGTGCCGTGCGCTTGGGGTCAAGCGTCTTGTATGCCATTTCCAGTTTCCTGGTGTATTCTGCCCATGTACCAACGTCTTGTCCGGAGGCGAGCTTGATTGCGTACTCTTTCATGTATAGAGCAGCTCCGCCTTCCAAATGCGCGTTGGCTTGCCGAATCTTGTCCTTGTCGTCCATGAAATGGTTATAATCGAGCCAGATGAGCAGGTTCGTGAACCAGGTTTCAAAATTTTCTGACGACTTTCTTCCCGAATACTTGGGAGGATCGGGGAGCTTGATTCGGCGGGGTGATTGACTGGGTTGGCCGGCCGGTGGTAGGATACCTGTGGAGGGTGCATTGATAATGGCATTATTGAGTCGAGACTCTAAGCCAACTATATAGGTAGTGGTCTTCTCCTGAGCCTCCTTCAGGGCGACCATGTTGCCATAAAGGGCGTCCATCTGGCCCTTTACTTCGTCCTTGTAATCTTCGAAGTCCTTGCGAATTGCTTGGGCTTCGAGTGTCAGAGTGTTGTTTGCCTTGATGAGCCGTTCGTTGTCGGTGGAAAGGGCGCCAATCTGTGCTCTGGCGGTTTGTAGTTGCTCTCGCGTTTCCTCCGCCATTATCGTGACGTGGATACGAGAGATCACTTCTTCTTCCAAAGAGGCCACCGTGCGCTCGTGTCGCTCATCCATCTTTTGACGTAAAGCCTCGTACGAGCTTACAACGTCTCTCATGACGAATGATCGTACTACGTTCATTACCCATTCCTTGACGTCGTTTGGAATGGTGTTGGGTGCAGCAGCATCGGCAGCTTCCTCAATGGTTGCGTAAGGGACTCCCTGCCATTCCCAAGTCTGAGGTGTGGCGAATGCTGGCAGGGTGGTGGGCGACGGGTTTCTGACTACTCCCGACGCCTTGGGTGTGCTGCTAGTATGAGGTTCATCTGCAGGGGCAGCTGGTCCTGCTTCTGATGATGTGGAAGTGGCCTGACTCCTCCAGGGGTCAGCAGGCTCACTCATTGTGTGTCCTCCGGGGAACGAAACACCTCCAAGGTTGTATTGAGACATGGAAATTGATGTCGAGGATAACGGAAAGGATGTGACGGACAATGTGTAAATTGATCCTCGGTCTCTGCCTTAGAAGGGTTCGGAATTTTCCTCGATGAGTCCTTCTTCTTCTAACTCCTCTCGTAGAGCTTCTGCTCGGTCGTGCCAATATTCTCGCTCTTCCTCAAGATCCGGGATGAGCCTGAATGGTGCCGAGTAGGTGGTATAGGCGTGTACTTGTACCGTGTAGTGGTAGAGTACTTGTTGCCAATTGGTGACGAGAGGTTGATAGATGAAGTACGCGGTGCAGATGACTGTTAGTTGTCCCTGCACCGGGCGATAAAAGTCCACGATGTAGTTCTGATATATAAAGCCGATTGTGTATCTCGGCATGAAACTTGGGATACAAAAATATTACTGGTCCTAGTAAGGCCAGTAGCACGACTCCTTCTCAAACTTTACTATCTCCTTGCCTACGCGCTCCTGTTCCTTATTGATTCCCTTGAAGGAAATCTTCCCTAGTCCTACGCAAAGCTTAATAGCGATGCGCCTATCGACGAAGGTGAAATCGTGCCCGGCTCCGATGCGCTCGTTTATAACGGCTAGGTGTCGGAGAATGCGGTCCCGACACTTCAACTGCTCCTCTGTGAACTTGGCTGCGATGTGCGGCTGCTGCAAGACTTTGTATCGCTGAATAGTAGCGTATACGGTTGGTGCAATGTTCTCGGGGAGAGTGCCTTTGGGATTCTCGTGGATCCCGCGTGGATGGTAGCTCTTTGAGAGCGCGAAGTTAAGAACGTCGATGGCGGGGAATGTAGCGTAGGGATGAGGAGGTTGGAGTGGAATGAATGGGGTAAGCGCGTCTCTTGGAATTCCTTCGAGCCAGAGGCTAACCTTGCGTGCTTGTTGGCGACGCTCAGCTGTGATGCCTTGTGAGCTGGCCTGTGGGGGATTCGCTTGGACGAGGTTTCCCTGAGTTAGATGGTGCGTGCGACGAGGATCGCGTTGGTACGGGTGGTATCGTCCGTTGGGCGGAATGATACCGTTGTGTACTTGAGGCGCTTTACCGGTTGCTGCAGCGCTGTTCCTTTTGAAGGAAGGAAGCGGCTTAGGCGGTAGAGACGCGGAGGAAGTGTATGAGGGGAGTGGTGTGGAAAAAGCCCTGCCCTGGGCGGATGTATCTCTGGGCGAAAATGCGCGGCTACCAGTGTTAGACACTTGGTAGGGGCGTAAAAGGTCAGTCTTATTCTAATGTCACGGCACGCCGATGACAAAGATAGACAACCAAAATAGAAACCCCTTGGGGGTCTTCTGGTCAAGAGCCTACAGCGACGAGCTGTGGCAATACGACGTGCCCACGGACGAGGCCCTAGTGCTAGTCACAGAGTATGACTTACTGGCGAGGCAGAGGGCGCTATCACAAGATGAGAATGCAAATAGATTGAATAGCACACTGAGAGTGTCTGGTAAGACCCTTCTGTGATGGTAGTGGTGGACGAAGGAGAATAAGACTGAGGTCTCCTCCTCGTCTCGCTGGTCCTTATATACATGATTGTCTAGCTACTGTACAGTACTACATAAGCGAGTCACACGCTCTTCCACTGGACGGTGCTACAATCGTACGATGTGTCCCAATTATCCTGATTGGCTGCCTAATAATAACCCGCGGAGACGGAGCTCCTCTTGAGCACGCAATATGGTGTCATGGTGATTGCGACATATGACACCATGCCGAGGAGCTCGGTGTCACGTGACAATGCTGAGGGAGATCCGAGGTCATGTGACTAGATGCCTCGTTATCTTATCTCATTAGATCACGTGACTTCTTGTGCGACGAGAAATGATGAAAAATGATATGCTTCTTAATAGCATTTGTTCCTTTAATGACTTTGTCAGGTAAAACCGTGACAAGATCCAAAATTCATTATGGAAGTTGCCTCCTGCGATGACCAGTCATCGGGCCTTCCGTACATCGACGCAGCAAGCTCCCGCCGTCGATGACTTCACCCCTCAATTGTAATTGCAACGCCCGTTCCTTTTCCTACATTCTCACTCATCTGTAATTGTAGCCCTCTACCGTCTCTCTCACGCGCACATTCGTATAGTCAATCCCATTCCGACATTCGGAATGAAAAGATTTGTACTTCTATTATACTTGTACCTGATTATGTACATTGCAAAGCTACCACGCCTTCGAAATAAAAACTTCCTTCCGCCGCAACTGTTATTTGAACCCGGCGCTCGTCGCCAACTTACCCAAGTAAGTTGTTCCCACAGGTTACAGGTCAGCCCACCACCATCATTTTGCACCTCGGTGTTGGCCTCTGTACACTGCTAACACACGCATTCATAGTTCATTATGGCTGTTCCACCTGCATGGTTTGCACTACCACAATATACCCTTCCAGTCTTGCTAGCTCAGCCAGCCGGCACATATGGAATATCATACGATATCAGCACTGGCCCAACTGAGCAAGACCCTCCTATGGGATGGGGAGCACCTAGAGATGCGTCACTTATACACTAGGTCTGACTCAGATTTCTGATTATAGTGCACTATCAGGTCAAAACATACCGCAGGCTTATTGCCAGACTGCATGCAAATCATTTTCAGCGGCATCAGTACAGCGACTACGTCCATCATAATACATCAGCAATGTACACATATCTGACAATGGTTCGCCTTCGCTTTATCGCACCAACTATGAAATTGGCAATGACAGTGAAGAGCATGAAAATGCACCATATAGCAGCAATGCATGTGTTTGATCAAACTCATGAACTGCAACTCGGTGGATTCTATGCGCCAATTCTCACTGGCCCCACACCCCATGGCCTTGTTTTGCCAGCATTACCTCTTCTGGCCATACCTCCAGCACCAATTCCTGTGGGAGCATTCGTTCGGCCCGTTGATACAGCTTCATCCCTAGCTGCTAACAATCCTGGCAATAATCTCATGTGAAGCAGTCACTTATGCTCACTGGTGTGTCATGACACCATACATCGCTGTCTCCTTTTTAAACTTCCCACAGAAGCCAACCACCATGCTTGCAACTCGTGTCATTCGAATGATGATGTACTCAGCATAGATACATAAAAGCACCACATAACATAGTCATTGTCAATGAGCCACATGTGCGACATATGTACGCGGATGCATCCCACCCTCCAGAGCATTACAGTATAGTAACAGATCCACATACCAAGAGCCGTATCATACCACATTATGATGAGTGAAAGCACAAACACTGCCGTAAATAGATCATCACACGATGCACAACCTTGACAACGCGTCTGCGCGATGCTTTGCCCGTCCTACAGCCTGGAGACTGCCTGTGAATCTGCAGTAGAAGTAGGCGGAGCCCCGCTTGCTATATATCCTAGTAGCGCTTCGCGGTTCTCGTACCACCACCGCACACAAAATTCCTTCTCGGCATCGCCAACACTCTCCAATATCTCCTTGAACAGAGCTTGTACCAGCTCTGACCGCAGAGAAGACGGCTGTTGCTCAGAGTCCGAAGTATCGCCAGACTGACTGAAACTGATGATGACCGATTTGCATTCGTCAAGAACTCGAGGCAGCAGCGAGAGCGACACGGAGGATACCGAGGAGATAAGCGTCAGATGAAGCCGCTGGAGGTGCTTCTCCGTCGCAGAAGTAAAATCAGAAGAACCCTGGGTATTCCGCATGGCATCAAGGAGCGAGTCGATGCAGAAGCGGGCCAGTACGTCGCCTTCTGTATGACGTTCGGATAGGGCTGTCTGTGCCCGCCTGAAAGCGCTCGCGCTGCGGACCAGGGCCGCATACGCTAAGCGGAGTTGTATGGTGCTCAACTTGCCGTCGCCTGAGTTCTAGATGAATGGCAGAGAATAAATTGTTGCTTAACAGATGCTGTGGTCAGATGCCACATACCTCGATTAGACACTGCACGTAGAACGGGACAGATTCTTCGGCGAAAGTGGGGATCTCAGACGTTTGAACCCCCTTCGTGTTCCCTTGGCTTGACTTCTGGGCATACGAAGTGAAGATGGCCAACATCACAGAATGAGCGGACTCGTATGTTTCCCGATGTGAGACGTCCGACAGGTGCCTGGCACGATTGTCAGTGAAGCCCATCTCACCTCCATCGGGCTGTACTCACGGCAGACATTGCGGAAAGACCTGCTCCCGAATGCACGTATCATTGAGGACAGGGATTAGCTGTTCGATGCAGGCCAGGACATATGCCTTCTTCATATGCACAAATGACTGGGGAGCAGATGCTGCCACGCAAGTTCACATCAGCTTCGCGGACGCGACTCTAGGAAAACTTACTCAGAGCACTCGTCATCCCGCATAGCTCCGCAATAAATCTCTCGCTGTCAGGAGCGCTCGCAGAGAGAATATCCAGGGCAGTGTAGAATGCCCTCTTCAGCTCCGAAAACCCACCCTCTGAGGTCGCGGTGACGCCGCCGAATTGATGAAGTACAAAGGATAAGTGAGCAAGCGTACGCAGAACAGTCATCGCAAGGTCGTATGGCGAAGGGCTAGTATCGACAGAAGGCTGAGGGACGAAGAGAACAGTCGACAGGACGGACTGAGAAAGCATGATAGTCGTGAAAAGTTGTGTCTTGAGTATGTTCCATAGTTGCGCGATCATTTCCCGCGTGTCGGGAGCTGCGAAAGGAGAAGACTCTCACCTTGGTTCGTGAACAGGGATAATCGAAAGCGCATGGACGAACCAAGATCGTCTTCGCTAGGCAGAAAGGCCAGCGGGCTTGTCGTCCAATCCTGCTCTACCGCTTTGGCAGTGCGTTCTAACTTGGCCATTGCTTGCGCCATGGCTGGCCAGCCGTGTGATGGACGGGATTCCGAGAGCACAGACAAGACTCTAGAACAGAGCTTTGCGAGCGTCGCCATGGACGCAACAAATTTGGATGACGATAGTCTCTGGATCAAGCGAGAAAATGGTGTTGTTGGCTGGTGGATAATGCAACACGGTCGGCCCAGGAAATCAGGAGAATAGCGATGCACGCACAGCAAACACGAGCTTTCCGTCATCGTCCCTGGAGCAAGAGGACTGCGCTGTAGACATAAAGCAACCACCTTGGAACGCAGATTCGATTGTGGAGGTGAGTATATCAGACAGCATCTGTTTAAAGAGTATCGAATCGCCGTCCGCTCAATCTGTACGATCAACTCACATCCAACGGTAGCGTTTCCAGTCTCTCAGCGGAGACTAGAGCAAGAAATCTCGAAGCCAGAAGCAGCGACAATGCAAGTGGCTCTATATCGGTGCGTGAGGCCTGAGATTCCGACTATGGCAGGACTTCACAGCGTACCTTCGCCGTCTTCAGACTCTGACTTGAAATCCTTCGCCCAATCCGCCGGATATTGCACATAGGAGTACGTGTCCATGACCTCAGCCAAGGCTAACACCACCTCCTCCTCCACAATCCTGCGCATACTCCCGCCCTGAGCATGCAGATCGCTCTCAAGATCTTCGAGCCCCAACAGAAGTCCTCCGGCACAGACAAGCCTCAGCGTTGGATGACCACCCTTCAGGCCATCTAGTACGCTCTTGACCCACTCTCCTGTACGATGATGTATGCTTCGCGAGAAGAGACCGTCCGGTTCCTCCTTGAACAATTTCACCTTAAGGTGCACCGCGTGGCGGAAAGACGTGCAGAGCGCCTCGAGCTTCGCATACGAAAATGGCAGAAATTGCGGGCTGCTAATCACAGAGGCTGCTAAAGATGTCGGTGATGGAGTCAGACGAGCGAGATAATGAGCAATTGAAGTCTGGACGGTGGACAGTGTAAGCGATGTGGTCGGGCGGTAGAGATGGCTCAGAAGGAAGAAATAGCCTCTGTCTGCCATCTTGTGCCCAATCGTGTCCAAACCAAGGCAGCTTCCGTAGAGTAAGCAACCTGCTGTGTTCAGGTCGACGGCAAATTCGCAGATGCTAAGCGCAGGGCATTGCAAGCGAGTGAATGGTCGATGGCTCGATGCATGGTGGCGCGAGGCGCGAACCACGTGATCCGTGTCGCACAAAACGCACGTGCTAATAGTATACAGCAGCACAGCAGACAGCAGCCAACTCATACGATAACATACATCTGGATCTGAAGACTCATACCGTCATACTGTGAAGTTCTGTGACTGTGAATAGCGCATACGTCAAGATGACCATGGACAAGCTGCCTCATCAATTTCGATCGCGGATTAACGGGCTGCGCACCGGACAGGCCTCGGCGGCGACCCGCTAAGCCCATTGACCTCCGAGACCTGACACCGGAAGCAATCGTTTCGGCATGCGCATACCGCATACGCCCCAATTCTGTTCGCTAAATGAACGTGGAAACCGCGGAAAGGATAGAGCGACCGTGTGCACGGCGGCGAGATATCGCCGAATTAGAGAGAATACATCAACGATGAGCGCGAGTGCTGAGCAAGTTGCACGCTGGAGACCTTGAGAGCTGCATGTGCTGAGCCAGATGAGCGACGCTTATGCTACACATGATTCGCAACTGGTTACCAACACAAAGTCTCGAAAGTTGACAGATGCGCAGATGAAGGATGGAATAATGTAACGTCCAATGTGAGGACAAGGTTGCGGACCGAGAGGAGCACCTCGCAGATTCGCGAATTGATAGCGGGCCCGGATGCATGAAGTGCTTGTTTCATGAATAAACCTGGACGATCCGGCCTGCCACCTTCTCGACGGGAGAATCCTTGCAGCAAGCGTCTTGACTTGATAGGCTGGAGGTGACGGCACCAGGTGTCTGTCCGGTGATCCTAAGCATGCTTTATGTAGCACACGCAACGGCCGATTCGTTGCCGCTGAAGCGACGCTTCTGGTAAACGACTGTCGCCGCCGCTGTCAATGACTTGAAAGTATTTCTGCATCTGGCTGAGGCCTACGTAACGTAGGCCTCAGAACGTAGGCTACATTCCCTAACGCATGCATTCACACCTACCTTCGTGTCGAAAGCGAACACGTTTCACTGTTGGAAGGGCACCTATCGGCGCAGAGGTGGGAACAACATTTGTTGATATCATGCCACTGCCACTGCCGACACCGACGGCGGGAAGCTTCCATGAACAAGGACCCTGCATAAACAAAAGCGAGGAGACGGCTTCTCCGGTGCGCCAGTCATGCCCGAATGTGCATGGGCGGGAAAGAATGGGCTATAGATAGAGACAGGTCCGGGCAGAAAAAGGGCAAGAAGAATAGAATCATGTGGCGAACGTTCTCGTGTCTCCGGCGACGCGTGTGAGTTGGCCTGGAATGGCTCTCGCAGGCAACGGGCCTCTCTGGGAGCAGCAGCGCTCGGTATAAAGTAGTGAAAAATGAGAGCCCGAAGGTGCTGGAGTCAAAGTGGCTCAGAGAGAGGATAGAGTGGAAATAAGGAAAGAAGGAAAATCGGGCGGTGAGGTAATTGGATTGTGCGAGACCGGCTTGCCGAGTTGTTAGTGTTTGCAAGTCGCTCCCAGGGTCGTCTTTTCTCTGATGTCGACGACCCTCCACTGTCCCTCGTAGTCCCGCGCGCCCGTTCCACCACCGCCCCGCCAGTTACGTCCATCCAGCGTAGGGCCCTCGTCGTCCACGGCTCCGTTCCTTCGTCTGGAGAATGCGAATTAGCCCGCAACCACATCCCAGATACTCCCAAAGTCGCGTGTCACCAATCGCACTTTCCCCACCGGTCGTCCTCTCCTCACCCGCTCACGCACCTTCCTGCCTATGTCCTCGATCGCGGCGGATGCCAGGATTCCTCCTCCAGCGCACCTACTTCCTCCTGAACCGTCATCCTCTTCAATAAGACGGAAAAGGCAGTCGGACCACCGCTCGTCGTCGTTAGTCCTCTACGAACACCACGCGAGGTCGGATGGCACCACCTGCAATGGCATTGCGGATCAGAGTGCAGTATGTGCGTGCTTGTTCCAGACTGGGCCTTGGGCGTTTCGTTGCGCCCTTTGCGCGTCGCTGGACGTGCCAGGCTAGGTTAGAGCGGAGGTTCGGCGAAGCTAACACACTTCTGCAGACACCGCGCAGTCTGACTGCTTTGATTCGGACAATGCAGTCTTTTCATGCTTCCCCACCGGAGATACCATCTTCTCTCAACACCAATGGGCGTACTTCGTCTGTAGGTTTATTCACTCGAGGCTTTCACATTTGAAGAGCTCACTGGATGTCGGGCATGCAGGGAACAGTAGACTGCCCCAGTTCGCACAAACGAATGAGGTCGACCTTTTGCTGTATAATGCGGAATCACTAGAACAAGTACTAAGTATCACTAATCAAACAAATCCATCGACTACCTCAGGCTCCGTGTCGGTTTGCGTCAATGATACCTGGTTTGGAGCTGACGCTGCGAATTGGGATGGCGAGAATATCACATCTGCGTACTACTGGGTCATTACTCCTTCCACGAAGACCGAGGTCATATACCAGTCGCCGCAGTCGACATTCTCTGCCGTCCGTAAGTGTCGCCACCCCATGTCACCCACTTCAGACTGCTCAATGGGAATTGCCACAGAGACCACGTATGCCGACTCTGTCCTTTCGTCAAGAAGCTCTGCATCGTCTGCATCAGCCGCATCGGCGGCTTCAGCTTCCTCTGCATCTGCTGCGTCATCAAGAGCTTCTGCGGCATCAGCATCAATAACAACCATCTCTGGCAGTGCAACCGTGGGGACTGGCGTAGGGAGCGGGGCCAATTCAAGTTACTCGGGTATCCCAACCGCGAACCCTTCAAGCCGGCAACCAGGAGCGTCGGGTACAGCATCCCCGGGCTCTGTGCAGTCGCTAAACAGCAACAAATTCCCTGACTGGGCGATTGCCGTCATCGTCGTTCTCGGTTTCCTCGCGCTCGTTGCGTTCGGCATCCTCACCTTCTTCATCATGCGCCGCGTACGAAACAGGCGGCATAGCATGCTCTCTCACCGTGGGTCCATGAATTCTGCGTCGCCGATGATGGCCAACGCCGCGGCGGGTGCCACTGCCCAGTCGCCCTTATTAGGTGCCGCTGTGCTAGGAGCGGCTGGCGGGGCAGGGGCGGCGGAAACGGGCGAGGGATCCCATCGTGCAGTCTCTCCCACGGACGGCCATGACGGTGCGTCGACGTTCTCGCGGCAAAGTGACACCGGCCTGTTCTCAGGCGCAGACGCCGCCATTATGGCCCAAGCGTTCCGGACCGCGTTGCGGAAGCCGGAGTTCGGGGACCGTCCTGACGAAGAAGGAGAGAGCCCAGAGAGCGACGCGAGCGATCACGCCGGCGCTCTTCTGGGCCACGAGCTAGCAGAAGAAGGTAGAGACATTCGCAGCGTTGGCTCATCTAGAGGAGTCAAAGTAGAAACTTTGAGCGACACGGCTGATGACGACGCAGCGACTGCAGCGACAACAGTCCACGACCGTCCTCATTGAAGGCGACTGGTTTAATTTCTGTCTCTGCCCTCTGTAACCCCTCGTCGCTATCCTGTCCGTCTTACTCCTTGATTTGTCGTCCGTGGATGCCATCGCCGTTACTTATTCACAGCTGATTTCTTTTTACTTTCAAGCTATGTATCATTCGACCATATTCCCTTTCCGCTGTTACCATGCATTATTACCCCTTCCAATACTGTTGTCCTGCGGTCGATTGCTTTTACCTTGTTTCAATACGGACTGATCTTCCTTGCGCACCTCGCTGCTTCTGGTACATACGGACAATTGCACCTTTACCTATTCATGGCACTGGCGATTCCTTCGTATGCCCTTATGTTTGGCCCCAATTGGCTGTCCAGTCCTTACTTGTCTCGCCCGCTCGCTTTCCCCGCTTGCGTCATAATCCATCGTCCATCGTCACTTCCGTGCAGCAGCAGTGCTCGGCCACTTCAGCCCGTATCCAGGCTTCCTGTCTCTTCCCGTCTTTCGCTAGCGCGGGTCTGCGCCCCATGTCATCGATCCAACTTGTCGGTTCATGCCATCCGACAAACCACTCTCGTTTCTGGCCGACCTTCTAGCCTATAGATCGCTTAGGCTCCCGCGCTACTCCAGGTGAGGGCGAGGGAAGGGAAGTCGTGCCCATGGCACCGCTCCGGAGAACGGTTGTCCTGTTTGAAATGCATCCGTGTCGTCACGTCGTTCCTGTCGCAGAGCCGAGATACCTGTTTCAAGCGTTTTGTACCGTTTCATTCACGTTATCTAGTTCTACGTAATGTGCCTCGGGCGGCGTGCGGATCCATGCAGCAAGGCGGAACTGCGATTCCCCGGGGCCGAAAACAAATGAAGCCAGAGCCAGAGCACGGATTGGCCGATGACGTCCAAGCGTGTGCCCGAAGACGAGCTGCTTGAGGGGAGCGAGGCACACAACTTCAGGGCATGATATGCATGACGCGTCGAGTCGGGAGAACTACTTGCAAGTCGTCACTCGGCGGGTACACGGAGCCAGGCGATAAGCAAGCCCATGTGATGGAGTTCTGTACATGATATCTCCTGATGAGTAGCGCAATAGTATGATAGCAACAACAGACAGCAGCGAAAGGACCTAAATGAGCGTGCGGATATGCTACAGTGCGATAGGCGGACCCAAAAGGCAGAGCCATGGTCGTGCGTGGCCGTGACAGACGCGCAAACCCGACAATCAATGCCCGGCGGTGTCATGATGTCTCCGATCTCCCCTCGAGATAGCGCATGAGCATCTCGTATCTGATGAGGCACAACTATGAGTTGAAGACTTGAGTAAAAGATAGATGAGACACAGCTCACGTTAGTAGTGTCACTGCACTATTTGGCACTGTCCGCACAAGATTCACAGACAGGCCCTTGTAGAACCCTCTCCAGCCTTCATATGTGATGATCTTCTTCACTGTTCGAATGATACCCACGCGAGAGCTGCTCGCACTTTGTTCCTTGCTCAGCAATCTTTGTGTAATTTGCATCCGTGTCCGCACGACCTCATGAGGGTATGTCGCGATCGAGGCTACCATTTTCGACAAGGCAGAGCAGCCAAGAATCTGTTGTGGTGAAAGGACGTCTGACGGTGAACGTTGTTCTTTATATAGAGATGTAAATCTTCAAGTCGATGAGGGTTACCATGTCACTCACGAGCTATCGCCTTCAGTTGCTCGTACAGGGGAAATTGAACAGCAACGTGTGCAATCCCTAGAAGACTTGGTAATAGGCCACGAAAGAAGGCACGCCAGCCTTCCGCTCGGTAGATGGTCACGACAGCGTCTAGTGTATGTCGGTATCTGCGCTCTTCAAACGGTTGAGTCTGTCAAACGGATGCCATCGACATCATGACAGTGCGGAGCATATAGCCCTACGCACCATGAATCGTGTCTTGATGACCCATAGTGGGTTTGTGCATATCGTGCTACTTGCACCAGCGGCCATGGCCGATAAAATGTGTAGCGACCAAGGATGCTCCCGCGCCAAGGGTTGATACCCCTTGACCTGGGCGGCAGGGTAGACATGTCCTGCAGTCGTTGAACCACCCAACCGTGTCTCACCAAAATGGTCCTTTATGCCATCGTACACCGCAAAGTAGATGGCCCATGTCGGGAGGTAGCCCAGAAGTGTCGGCCCAAGCCCACGATACAGCCCTCGAATGCCATCGTGTCTAAGGACCGCTTTGACCGTGCCTGGAAGCGAGACGAGGTGCAGAGAGGTCTTTGAGATAAATATCGCTGGAGCGCTGCATCAGGCCGAGAGAATCCCTCACCGAGGACACCCAAGTATCCCTGCGACCCACGAGCGAACCGCTGAGCCTGAAGTCTCGTTTTAATCACATCCAAGGGACAGGTCGCGATGCTGGCGACAAAGCCGCCCCCTGCGCCAGCTTGAAATTCGGATGAGTTGGATGAGGCGGATGTCCGGGACTTGAGAGGTGCTGATGTCTCTCACCAATCATGCTATCTGCGCTCGACGGCATGGCTCTAGCTTGCGGCCGCGAGGATGGTTGCGACGGCGGTCGCTCTAGGGATGAGCAGTGCGCTCAAAGTGGTTGTTGAAGATGTCTATAATCGCGCACTCTTGCAAACTTCAATGGTGCACAAGACCTCAGTAATCTCGGGTCATGCCGCGGCACGTCGTCCTCAGCAGCGCTCACGCACGCGCACATCATACATTGCCCTCGTCTTACATTCTTGGAGCCACATCTGCTGACTTTTACCCTGCCACTACCCATCAACATCATGATGTATAGCCTCGGAACTCCCGCAGAAGACCTGTTCAGTCTGCCTAAGTTGATTTCCCCGAGATGTCCGTCACGTGTGTGCTGGCAATATTTCTTACCCCTTGATACGAGCATATTTGATGTTGCTACAAGTAGCTGTGCTCGTCCAGACTCCAGCCGCCCCTTGTCCTCTTCTCGGCTCCCATCTACTGCCTTTGACCTCTAAGCTAGTCTTCGCACCATCGACATGAGCGAAACCGCCGCCGCTCCCGACGTGTCTGAGCTCAATGCGACCTTCGGCGTGCTCTTGATTGGCTTCATCTTCGCAGTCACTCTCTATGGGCTCACCTTCTTTCGTGAGTATCACGACGTGGCAGTGGCAGAAGCAGTCGATGCTGACTATGTGTAGAGACGTATATTTACTACTCTCGCTTCCCGTCTGACCCGACATTCTCGAAGTATACTGTAAGGCAAAACACCATCATTCCGCAACTGTGTTGCTGATCATCGTTGCAGATTGGTCTTCTATGGTATGCGTCGTTCACTTTCGCATGGCTCTTCTCAATGACATTGGATACAGGGCGGTTGACACGGCGACGACAACTCTCTGTGCGTACGACCATTAGCTTATCGCGTGCGATTGCTCTAATGCCTTTGATCAGTGTCGCATACGTGAGCACCAGCCAAGAGTGCTATACCAAAGAAATGGCAGATTGCTCACCCACGCCCGCCAGATTGTACTACTATCTGATAACGAGTTTCATGGCTCCCTTCGATGAGCTTGACATCACCAAGTGAGCAACGATCATCTGCGCCGGATATACATCACTCATTAATTTTGCAGGACGTTTGTGGTACGTGTCCATTGCTGCAGTCCGATAGCCGGAACGTTTTGTGTGCTGACAACTGCCGCATCAGTCGGAGAACGCGCTCGCAGTACGTCGTGCTTCTTGTGCTGGTCGGTATATCAATTAATCTCCCATTGAATAGGCGTTCGGAATCTTCCTTGTCCAAGTGTGAGTGTGTCACATGTGAGATATTATAATATTCCGTATTGATTTTACGTAGTTTCTATGCATATCGTATCTACATCGGTAAGCCTCCTTGGTCTGTCGTCTCTGCGGTCGGGCCCTCACAGTCGACGCAGTGAATGGCAAAAATCCTGCTCTACCCGGTGTGATTGTAAGTTATACAAGGCATGATCTAAATCTCCTCATTCACAAGCCTTCCTTAGTCTCTGTTAGCGGTCGTCAATCTTGGTGCGTAGCTATAATTACTGGATGCTTTCCATTCGCCAGTATTGATATACCTGAACAGTGCTTGGTATCGGTACGTATATTGTTCCGTATACACTGTCGTTTGACGTTTCTCAATGCAATGCTACGGACAGCATCTGCGGCAAAGATGTAAGTTTCCGCCGTTCTCGATAATGTCAAAGTTCTAATTTGCACGACGCTGTAGTTCGCAGCAGCCGTTCTTCTACAATTTCGTTGACCACGTTGTCGAGGTACATCCTCCCGCTTGCACGAATTGCTTCACTTTTACTGATTGTGGCTGTTTAGGTCCTCACTGGCGTCCAGTACGGTCTCAGCACGCTGTGCGACATCATCATTGTTGGCGCGTTGCTATACTACGTGACGCCTGCACGCTACCCGGGCATGAAGTCGTAAGGCACCTGCGAAAAATGACTCCCGCCAATTCTAACATTGAACTTTCCAGGATTGAGGGCTGGTATGAGTATATCGCCGTGTTCTTTATCAACCGCGGCACATGCTTCACGTAAGATCCGGCAGTCTATATGGTGTTCCCCGTATGGCTCACATTCACTGCCTTAGGCTGTTGCAACTCGTGTCCCTGATCCTCTTCGTCTCGATCCCCTCGCAACAAGTCTGGATTCTATTCCACTTCGTCACTAGCAAGAGTACGCATATGAACTTCCTTCCTTGCTCCTCCAGTCGATTTGACCGGTCGCACTTCATACAGCGTACATCAACAGCTTGCTGCTCATGTTAGCATCACCTGTTTCCGTGTCAGTGTTGAAACACTAATGACGTCTAAACTGCACAGGCTCAACTTCCGCAACGTGCACCACGGCCGCGGCATTGAAGAGGAACAGAGCATGAACCAGCGTGACGTCAAGAGCAGCGGTGTTCTCTCTGGCAGCGGCAGCCGCAACCAGAGGATCGACACTTCTCGCAGTGTGCAGTTCGGTGTTGTCGACACTGAAAGCAAGGTGAGTGTTCACAAGCTTTAGCGGTGAGCGCGCCTCTCACTAATTTTTCGCGGATGCAGGCTGCCGCTATGACCATTGGCCTGGACACTATCCAATCCGGCACTGGTCTGGAGGATGATGAGGCAAGTGGACAGCTGTATTCTCGCCGTTCTGCTTGACTAAATGTGTGATGAGCGCAGAGCGACAAACAGAGGACGACCCACTCGGACATCGACATTCAGTGAGTATCGCTGTGTTCAGATCTGTCTCCGGTCCTAACTATTTTGTAGGAAAGCGAACCCAGAGTTCTGAGAGCGCATCATGCCCTTCAACGTCCACTTCATCATTATATCGTGTTCTGCCATCTATCTAGCGCCATCTATACCGCCACTTTGCTCAATCTTTGCTGTTTATATCTACTATTGCCATCAGTTCCCAGCTAGCTGGCGTATCTATGACCATTTTCACATCGCTCATGAATGTAGATAACGGAGGAAGGAATAGAAATGGTCCATTCGGTGTCATTAATCCATGGGGAAGTAGGCATCACACAAACAAACACCAAGCAAGGTAGGGTATATCTATGATGGAACAGAAAATGTAGCAGCTACTCCCTGGTGGGCTTACGCCTTGGCAGGCTTTTGCCTATCAGCTACCCACCACTGCAAAAGATGGATGAGTACCAAGACCACCGAAAGCTGAGCAAACATACTTCAAGGGTCTTCTTCAAGCCCTCCTCCATGCCAACCTGAGGCTCATATCCAAGAACTCTTCGTGCCTTCTCAATGTTGTGGCATCTCCAAACGCAACTGAAAGTGACCCTAAATCGCGTGAAACCAGGCTGCTTGCCGGTAAGCCACGCCCACCACTCTGCTGCGCCCGCAAGCACCATGCCGACCTCCTTGGAGAGAGTAGTGACGCTGCGTTTCGTCTTGTCCTTGCCAAAGTGCTCGTCGAAGAAACACCATGCGATGCGGGGTACATCCCAGAAGTACACCGGCTCACCGTTCGTGATGAAGAATACCTGCCCCGCCACTTGCAGCTGCTTCTCACCCTCCCGCACCAATGCTACCTCGGACAGGGGGTCGAATCGTCCGTGGACGGCGGGTTTGCGTGCGTGCACGTAGTCCGGATTTTCCCAGTTCGCGCTGATCTGCTCTGCATCGGGAGGCGGCGTGACGTAGGGCCCGAGCGGACGGCTGGCAGAGGTAGGTATGCGACGGCCACCGGTCGTGCAGCCAATGTAAGGAAGCGCGTAGTGAAGTTCCTCCTTCAGCGTTGCGACCTCCTCCTCAGACATTGGGCGCAGACGATCCGCGGCTAGCAGGTGCGCATGAGCGGCGTTTGTGATGTACGTCCAGTCGAACAGGTTGGTGTTGTCGCCGATCTGCCAATGGGTCTGGTTGTTCTCATACACCTCATATAGCCCAGCAATAAGTTGACGGTCGCCGGGGCTATGCGATACGTGTCATTCCAACGTTCATCGACTGCACTTTACTACTCACCCGAAGAGACCGGCTGGCCTGAGCGCAACCGTATATAACCCACCCTTGTCGTTAGCTTCTAGAACCATTTCCTCCGCCTTAGCCTTGGACTCGTTATACGCGTCCATAGCCTTTTCAGGGGGCGGAAGGCGCTCATCGATGTCGACAATGTTGTTTCCGTTGAATACCACGCCGGCCGAACTTGTGTAAACCAGTTTAGATACACCGTTCGCTAATGCAGCGGCTATGACGGCCTTTGTGCCATCAACGTTGACTTTCCAGTACAATGCTGGATCGTCCATTCCATGTGGTGGGGACGCGGTATGGATGATGCACGTCGCCCCGCTCTGAGGTCGCCCGGTAAATTCGGCTGCATGTTGTTGAGTCGCAACGACAACGCACCTTCTTCAATGCATCTGAGACCTGACCCTCTTCGCTGATGTCGCCAGAGTAGAACGGGACATCATGATGTCTCTGGACGATGTCGAATACCGACACCGTGTCGTTGCGAGCCAACAGAGACTCGACGATGTGGCGACCAAGGAAACCGCTACCACCAATCACCAGGTAATTGTCTTTTGCATGCGCAGCCATAGCCGGGAAAAGACGTGAGGGAGACTGTGGTGGGGCTAGAAATGTAGCGAGCTGGGGCGCGCCCGAGTCGGACCATTCTCGATTTTACACCATCAGCTGGTCCCGCCGTGACACCGCTATTGCCCCCTATGTCCACGTCTGGCTCCGGGGTGGCAATATATACATACGCCATGAACGTAAGGAGCAGCCGCCAGTGTGTTTTTGACTCGGATATGCTATATCGTGCTGTAGGTCGGGCCACTGACCGCGGGAGAAAGCAGCCACGGCGGTGCCTAGATTGTTGCACAACTGGAAATCCTACGTTGCTCGGTCAAGCATGCGGGTAGCAGTCGTGCAGTTCGCACCAAAGGTACGTCCCAATCACTATTGTCATCTCAGCAGTGCCTGCATTACGTCTGAATCCCTCTTAGATTGGGCGGGTGCAGGAGAATATCGAAACCGCCCGGAAGCTATGCGAACAGTGCGTGCTTGGTCGCGCCAATACCCTGTCTTCTAGATTGAAACATCCGTGCATTTGGCAGGATCAAGCCTCACTCAGTCGATCTCGTATGCTTTCCTGAGATGGTCTTCACCGGTATGCCCCAAGCATCCATCCATCACTGCCTATGCATCATGCGTACGCATACTAGGCTACGTCTTTCCGGATGCACGTTCCATCACGCCCCACTTGGAGCAGCCCGGGAAAGGGCCAACTTCACGCTTCTGTGCCGACTTGGCAGCACGGCTGCAATGCCATGTTGTGGCGGGATATCCGGAGCGTTTGGATGATCGCGAGCTCGGCGGAACAGCTGCAGGGAATGAGAACGCCATAATGAGCGTCGGCGCGAACAGTGCCATCTTATACGGCCCAGATGGCGCTCTAATCGGCGGCTATCGCAAGACCAACCTGTTTGAGATCGACATGACATGGGCGAAAGCGGGTGAGGGGAAACATCGAACCACCTCAGTACTTTCTGACGCAACCTCGCAGGCACCGGATTCGCGACCTTCAGCTTACCCAAACCGCTGAACAACGTTAGCATGGGCATCTGCATGGACCTCAATCCCCAACAATCCGTTAAATGGTCGATAGAGGGTCCGTATGAGATCGCAGACCATTGCATATCGAAGAGGTCAAACCTTCTGATATTGCTCAATGCGTGGTTGGATTCGGGCTCTAAAGCAGATGAGCAGAAGGATTGGTATACGTTGCAGTATTGGGCCTCAAGGTTGAAGCCTCTATGGGCAGGATCTCCTCTGAGCATTGAAGGTGTCCAGGGTACCCCAGCCGATGAGACCATCGTAATAATTTGTAACAGATGCGGGGAGGAGAATGGTATGTTCTGTCATCTTAGACATGATTTTGTCTGACCTATCAGCGTCACAGGCAAAACGTTTGCAGGGACATCTTCTGTGTTCAGAATGCGACAAGGATCAGGCCGTCCACAACTGCTGCATGCAATGGAACGCCACGAAGAGGGCGTAGCTTTATGGGACATTCCAACTGGGAGTTGACTCTGTATCACTAGAACAGTGACGAGTGTTTTATAGTATTCCCATTCATTTGTCACGTTTAACTGTAGCTCTCATGTGTACCGCAAAGTACAAGTCATATCCTATAATCTATCCTTCCCCTTAGCCTTTCTGCGAGTCGGTGCAGGTCCGCATCAGTAACTGAACGACTTCTCTTTCGTTTTCAAGGTCATCGCCGCCAGTCGTCTTCCATGCCGCTGCATTCCGCACTGCTCTGACTATCTTGAGCTGAGTAAGTGACCGTGCTTTGTAGCCTTCCTCCGTGGACGAAAGAGAGTGCAACCCGAACTCTAAGTCTCGTGCGACCCTAGCTAGGACGTCATTCCTAACATTGCAGATATGGTCAGCAATGCGGATCACAAAATCTACTGACGCAGCGTACTTCAGCTCCTCGGTGGCTTCGGACAAGTTCAACTTCTCCCACAAGTGGTCACCGCTTGTTGTATCTGCGAAGGTCCTATGCAGTACGGTTCTGATGGAAGTGAACGTCTGCATGCGCAACGGGAGCTGTAAAGTGCAGTCTCATTGTCAACGCTGCGTGTTCCGCTTTCTCAATTACACTTACTGAGATCTTCCGTGAGAACAGCACGTCCATTTCTACATCTGTTTGAGGAAGTTCTACTAGATGCGATTGAGCGATGTCAGCGACCACCTGTTAGATCAGCAGATGCCGTACTCCGAGTCTCCTCGTCATCGTCAGCGGACGGCACTGATTCTTCATCTGATGCCTCGAGAGGTGGTTCAGAGGAAATCTCCACCACATCGTGGACCTCCTCCGCTTCGTGTATGGTGGGAGCAGGCGGCTCTGTGATACTGTGCGAGCGATCTTGGAGAGTGTGTTCAGAAGAGGGTGTTCTGAAAGGTGACCGGAATGGCTTGTTCAAACTTTGCCTGAGCCGTGATGCTGGAGAATGGTCAACGCTGGATCAAAGCAGTGAAGACCAGTATACTCACACATGCCCAGAGGAGCAGGTGTAGAAAAACTTATCTTGGCCTTCTTACTACGATTCTGATCATCGGGGAATGCTGAAGTCGGTCGCTTTCTGGAGCCACTTGACGTTGTGTTCATACTGATCGTGTTAGACCGGTCTATGCCATGACTCTCGTCACCCGCCCTGAAGTTGCTCCTCCACCCGCTGCTCATGTCGTTCCTGGGGTTCGCGGAAGAAGGGCCAGCAGCGTTTCCGCGAATAGACTCTTGGATACGGAAGTACCCGTCTTCGTCCTCGGTACTGTCTGCTTGCCGTTGGAGCATTGCTGTCTGGGAGCTGACGAGTTCTTGTGATGATAGCTCCAGCTTGCGTCGCTTTGTCTTTTCTGGAGACTTGCAGACCTGTTGACAACGATCAGGCCGAGACAAACATAACGCTGTAATGTGAACGCACATCGCACATATCATTGCAATATCTTTTGACGACTTCCGGTTTGCTCGAATCAATCTTTTCACCAAAATACTTGCAAATAGCCTGTGAGATGGCAGATATCAAAAGCGGCGAACAATTCCCAATGTGTACACCACTGACAACATGTCGACAAGTGTCAACGCCTTCAGCGAAGTTGATCAGCTGGTCTTGCAACTTAATTCCACGACTTTAACCGACAAAGATGAAGGGACATACTGCTCTCAGGCTGTTTATTGCTCTCTGACTAGGCATCGGGCCTTCCATAGATTCTGCGCGCATCAACCGCTTTTCATGCGATCCGCCCACCCACTTTTGCACTCTGACTACGTCCTCCCTGGCTAGTCCATTGAAACGTCTTGCTGAGTGTCCTCCTGCAACACTTAACGCATGATATTTGCTCACAGTAGAACAAAATGCACTTTGATGGCTTCGCCATGCCAAATGCGCATGAGTATTGAACACTCGTGATCTGGTTCCAAACGTACCAGACCATCGCGCCCTCCCCTTCCTAGACGTTATCAGTCAGAACAATCCAGGTTGATGGCACAACTGCACCCACCAGTCTCTTGATAGTAACCTCCAATAGTGTCAGGTTTACCAGCTGTACACAAAGCATTGAAACACACCTTCAAAACTTTTGGGTAGATCATAATGAAGAATGTACCTGGGCTATTCATAAGCAGACCATACTCAATAGGGCATACATGCTGCTTTTCACCGGACATCGGCCTTGTCAATACCCATGCCAAACGCTATAGTGGCGCAAACCTGCCGAACATTGACATATAGGACATTGTAAAGAGGAGCATGGCTTACCACGTCGACTCCTCCTTTCCCTGTTCCTCCACAGGCCCAATCTTCCAGTGTCCTATCAAGAACAGAAGGCCTGGGAGTCATCGCCGCATGAGATGTGGATGCACAGTTCGCACACGCGTCAACAAACGACCACTCACCTGATCCCTCTGTGATATGGTCTGGCGTTCAGTCCTTTGCCTCGCAAATAGGCGGACAGGTCGTCGCATCTGGCGCGCGTTCTACAATAGATAATACCGGAAGAGGGTTGTCCTCGGCGTCTATGCAGACCACTGATGTATTCAAAGACATCGACTTTGTGTGCGTCCGGGTCCGGGGAAGACAGATATCGGACCTTAGGTGTTGCATGAGTGCCTGTCATGAAACACCACGCAGAGGACTCCACCTCATAAAACAGATTTTCCCGATTGAACGGATGGACGACTTTAAACAGGTTACCCTCTGATATCTTCAGGCTACGCACGATATCGTCCTGCACGCTTCTCCAGGCTTCAGTACTGAGAAGTGATAGCGAGCCATGAAGCATACGCTGGAGTTGCTGTCGCAGTCAGTGCCATGATAGGTATATTTGGGTATCTGTCCCTGAAGAGACCGAGCCGCCGATACTCTGCACGGAAATCGTGACCCCACTCCTGTGCATCGGCGAATCAGTATTTATGCCACTTAGCTCCACGAGTCAGTTGCCAAGATGTACCGATATACAATGAGCCTGTATGTCGCATTCAGTGGCAAGGATCAGCTCAGTCTACAGATGTCACGGCACCTCATCAACGACTAATCGGTTCAACCTCTCTTGTTCGTAAAGAACGGCTAGCATCTTGGTAAATTCTGCAGCGCAGAACTTCTCTGGGCTCACTGGACATTCAACGTCGTCATCGCTCGTGAGCAGGTATCATTGAAGGGTTATGCGAACCATAGAGCAGTCGAGTGGTGGGATCCCCTGAATGCAGGTCCTGCACTAGCTGCTCGTCACGCCGTCAGCGAGAGATAAATGTGAGATATGGAGACCTCACGAACATCTTGTTTCTCCTCTCGAGAGGTCTCGGAGGTGAAGGCGACAACGCATATATCGGCACGTCGTAACTTGGCAACTTCTGTTATGCAGTCTATATCACCCGCCTGCTTCATTTGAATGCACGTAGACACTCACGATTCTTCATAAGCGCTTGTATGACTTGTTATCAGCACATATCGCAACGATGGAGACAGAATGAATACCGAGGAGAGGAGACACGACCACGGTGACTCCGTGCTATTTGGGCAGCGTCAGCATTTCGCCAGCCTAGCTGGTTGCTTCTTGGACATACTTGAGCAGCTATCGCAGGGACCTGAAAACATATACTCTGAACAGGCCAAAAACGTTATTGAACGCTGCAATTGTTGTGCTGTGTATTCTAGGGTTACCTTGCCCATTCCAGTCGGCGCTAGCACGAAAACATCTGCCCCTTGAGCCCGACTTGTCAGTCAATACCGCATATAATTGCACAAATTCAATACCATGGACAGCGGCGTGCACAATCTCCTTCTGCTTCCCTTTATACTCCGAGTGGCCAAATGCTGCTCGCCAATTATATGTCAGCATGACTGACCATCGTGGCAGAAGAGAACATGCTTACTTTCCGTCAACACGCTTTATGAGAGTGATACTGCATAAGAGTCACACTTCAGGATATCATAGGGCTTACTTCCAGCAGTCGTCTGCTGCTCGGCTCCTCTTCTTACGTCTGTCCTGTGGCGTCGAGACGTTGGACAGTTTCTCGATGGAAGGATCCGAGAAGGGCGAGCGCAGGCTTTTCGATTCTCCTCGAGAGCTGGGGGACGTGGAAGTCGAGTCCATGGATTCGTCAGAAGTAAACAGTGCAGTAGTACTCGGAGCTTGCGGCGTTCGGGGTCGACGCGAACAACACGCGTTCGTCACGTGTACGCGTCAGCCATGCTGCTTGTCTATTCGCCAGCCACTGGTGTGCTTGCACCATGACTACGACGCGAGTTCTAGTCCCGCAGCGTGCTCCTCTTCTGGTTTGGAATTTTTCACCATCTGATCATCTTTTTGCACCCTTCCGCATGCTCCATCGAGTGACTTGGGTGGACAATTGAGCCAATGGCGTATTGAAGTCCTGCACATCAGATTGTGCGACATCATCGCATCTGATACGGTCCAGTAAGTACTGGTCTTGTTACTCGTTCGAGACATCTTTGCCCATGGCCGGTTATACGGGTCACACCAATTTGAATGGACCCAAGCTCCGTATGAATGCGACTCAAGGTTAGATGTCTGAGTCAAAGAGTCGCTGTCCCTGCTACAATCTATCATGTCGCAGAGCATGATTGTTGATGCGAAATGAATGGACAGCGTGAATGGACAGCCTCATGGGAGTTGTCGCAATAGGTCTGCTCAATACATCTAGCAAACAAATCCGGCTTCGGATTTTACCGCTTCGGTACAGAACGCCGCAGTCTACTTTGGGTTCTTGGCCGTTGCCTCATTGGAAGCTTCTGCTCCATGTTATTGCCACTGCCTGCAGCGCTTTGAATCGAACCTCTACTTAACCTGCCGGTTGCCGGTTGCCAAGCGTGCTGACCGCCGTCCCCAGCTCACCTCCCGCCATGGGCACCACAGATATTACCCTTGACAGGGCTTACTTGGCCGCAATATGGCTGGAGACACTTTTCTACGGTACGTCATGCACAGATCAATAGCGCATTCAGCTGATGACCAGCTAGGCATGAACGTGGTCTTGTTTTTCTCGTGCCTGTTCATCCTAACGATCCGACGGCGGACACCTCATGTCAACAAAATGCTCGTCACTATTGCCCTGCTCATGTTCACCTTCTCCACTTGCCACGTCTTCTTGGGGTTTTATCGCCTCATCATGGGATTCATTGTGCTACGCGATCAACCTGGTGGCCCGGCTGCATTCTTCTCAGATGTGTCAATACCGGCCAACGTGGCAAAGGTAGGAATTCATACTGTGAATGTGAGTTCGACATCAATTTGTCGAGCGGATGGTTGCATTGACGCGGGACTAGTCCATAGTTGGCGATAGCGTAGTGGTAAGTCTCTCTAGCTCAATAGAAGATCCAATTTGTGTTGACAGGCTTGGCAGGTCTGGCGATGCTATTTGGTGTGGGGCAGAGACTGGAAAATGTGCGCTGCGCCGATCATCTTGGTAATTGGATCTGCAAGTGAGTGGCCCTCTGTACCGTTTTCTGCATCTTCTAACGTTGTGCAGTTTGTGGGTTTGGACAAACAGTCTATTTCGCCAGAGGGCAACAGTACCATAGTGCCTTTGCGCATCCACTCGTGGTGTGGAACGGATCGCTATTCAGTTTATCTCTCACCACGAACGTAGTGGTGACTTGTCTTGTTGGCCTGCGGGTCTGGTGCGTTTTCTCATGCTTCACGACTGCATCATGCAAAGATCATGAAACGATATATGTCAGGTTCATTCTACGCATGTGTGGAGGAACAGTCAATTTTCGATACTGGCGGATACTGTTGATCGTGATCGAGTCCGGCATGATATATTCTGTCGCTCTGATTTGTGAAGTTACCCTATATTTCCTGGGCCTCAACTCGTTTTACATCGTCTACGATCCTATAGGCCAGCTAACGGTATGCGAAGTCCTGCTTGATTGCATTAGAATCTCATGATTCGTCTATACAGGGGATCGTGCCTACCATGATTCTGGTCCTCGCGGGATTGGAGCTTACCACAAACGACGTCCATTCCCGGCTGACCGGTACCCAGCTCTCAACCGCGCGTTTCCGTACAAGACCTTTGAAGACAACGGATGAAAGTGGCACGCTCCCTTTGGACACGATCCAGTTTGCGAGCGTGTCCTCCTGTGTCCGCGAACGCAAATCTACTCTCCCTGCCGCAGTCCTGGACGATAGCGATGTCGAGCCAGACATGCCCACCAAAGTGCCATTACGATCAGAGAGGAAGACATTAGACGCATGAGCTTTCCTCGCTTGAAAATGTTGTCTGCTGTACTATATAGCCTCATCTAAGCAGGTCTGTAACTTATTACCTTCACATATCTCTTGGAAACATACCTCAGCATTATGGTAGCACGTGCCAGCGCCAAGCTTGTATTTGACATGCTTCTGATACCATGTACGCCTGGCGACCTTCGCACTCCGTACGTGCTGTCCACATCAAGAACCAGCACGAAGCCGTGCCACATTGCAGCGTCCCGCTGCATGCAGAAGCGCGACGCCCGTCCAACTCTCAGCCGCAGCCAAAGGGATCATCTGACTTGCGCGTATCGGAGTGCCACGGATGCAAATGTCCAGGAACAAAGATCGGCAGCCATAATTAACCAAAGTTTCGCTGAGATGCGTGCCGCCCAAGTGGATCTTCCTCGAATCGAGGCCAGATTCACCCGTGCGAACCGACGCGCCACCACGCTGCTCGCCCGCTGGCACCATTGGCCATCCATTGCGGCTGGAGTCGGGTTTACAGCGATTGTCTATCTGGCGCGCACGGACCTTCGCATTGAATGCATCCGCGTATCGGACTGTTCTCAGCGCTTCGCAAAGTACTACTATGTCAATGTGTTCGGAAGCTGATCGGGGTAATATTGGATGAAAGGAAGCCATACGAAGCACAAAGTTTGAGGCGCTCCACATAATACGCAAAGTTGCAAGAGGGATAGCAAGAGCGCACAAATCAGACGCGAGCTTAGAAGTCGGGCTTCGTTGCATAAACCAGCGGTCAAGTCGCAAGCATGGTATGAATCCTTACATCCCGGCAATTCAAAAGTCACGATGCACTCAGGAAATCCCGGATGCCTGGAAGTCGCAGGATCATCACATACTTACTCCCTTTCAACGCCAGCGTCATACCAGAGGCACACAAAGTCGGGGCCCAACGGCCGTGAATGTTCTCTGCAAAGGTACCATGTCGCATGGGACGATGTTTACCCGCTATCCGTTGATGTCGTATGCACGACATAGTACCCCCACGCGCTTAGCGGCCACATTGCATTGGGACCCCGAGCTTAAACACCATCACTAATCAACCAATAACCGCGGGCTCTTGATCCTTCGCCATGCCCGGCCAGCATCATCCGGTCCAACCCGCGCTCGGTTATTCCGCAGTCAATAGCGATGCGTCTAGTCATGCAGGCCGCCGATGGAAGCTCGCTTTTCGTCCTAGCTCTGTACCGCTGCCAATGCGCGCTACCGCCGCATCCCCGCACGCGCTCACTTTCGGTTGAGGACACGTCGTCATCCCTGGCACCACGTTCGGCTTAATCAAGGTTTGCTATTGACCCTGCCATATGCCAGGGTCCCATGGCCTGCCCGTTACGTCCTGCGGGCCACCACGAGCCGGCTGACGTTGGGTCGTATGGGAACTGACGAAATGCAGAAGGCCCGTATGGAAGCATCGTGGCACTCCGAAATTAACTCACCACCCACCAGGACCACACAGACATGCGCATTTGTCTCGTGATCCTGGTCAGCCTAAGGAACGAGGCGAGACCAGGGCTATCGCCAGACCTGCGCCTCGGTGTTGGTCATCTTGGTCCAATGAGGTACGAGATGCTCACTTACCATGTGCGCTCCAAGGCCCTGGCTACGATAGGGAACGTTGACTTGGTGGGAGCACTCCTGTAATGCCAACTCTGAGTCTCGATGGCGACTCTCTTTCACTCCGCGAAGAAACGATATCCATAGGTAATCGTCCCAGATTGTTATGTGATGCTACTCCAGGACCGAGCTCTCTTTGAGATACTCTAGAAACTCCATTGTCGTCTGGATACTATTACAAAATTGCAATCCGGAAAGCCAGTGCAAGTAACAAAGCCATGGGAAAGCTGAGAACCGAAACGGGATAACAAGAGACGTCTTTGAACCGGGCATATCTGCGGACTGAAACAAGGTAAAGATGGGGTATTCGGAGTGGGGAGCAGGTGGCGAGGCGGCCAGATAATGTAACACATATATCGGTATTCACTAGAGATAGTAACAGTGACCAGCTTGGAAACAAAAGTGGAAGGATATGAGACTCGTACCAACAGATTCACTACGGGCGCATACAGACGACTGACCATACCATCTCACAACAGGATGTCTACGCATACAGCAAAGGTCGCCAAGAGAAGAGCGGCATAGGAGAGTCCGTTGGATACATAGGGTATACTGCTGTCAGTTTCAGATATCGCATAAGAAGACAGGGAAGAGTGCCGAATGCTTGACCAGCATGTTTTTTTTTTCAGAAGAACTGTTGAACCGTATATCCCGCGACAGCATGTATCCACAGTCCATGAAGCTATGGACAAGTGGGATACACGCTGTGACCGCTTATGACTCGGATTTGCGGATTATGACCATCAGACCGTCGGAGTGGGCCGAAAAGATGGCATCCACGACCAGTCTCTGCTGCTGCGGTTCTCCTCTACGGCGGTTCCGGCCGTGAGATGGGTCGTGTGTGGTCCCGTGGGAAGCGCGATGTGCCTTTTGGTAGTCATGCTCGCGGTCTCGTCCCCGCTCACGGTCGCGATTTGACTGATGCCCTCGGCGTGAAGGCGCGGGGTCAGGAGGGCGTTCGCTGTATCGAAACGTCCGTAAGTTGCATGCGCTATATAGCTTGACAGATCGTGGCTCACCTCGAGTCCCTCCCTTCCACGCATACTTTAAACTTCCCGAATCCGAACCCTCCGTCGCTCGGCTGCCCGCGTTCATTGACGCCCCAGCTCTTGATGACATCGATCCAGCTCCTGACGAGGTCCTCGTCCGAGCGCATGACGAAGTCGAAGAAGCTCCGGCCCAGCACATGCGTCGTCTGCAGGATGCTGTCGTTCGAGCAATACAGGATCGGGCAATTCAGCGAGAAGCGGTCCAGGAACAAGGCCGTACGCGGCGACTGTTCCGGAAGCGGGTCAAAGTGCTCGGGAGCCTCGGCCTCACGCTCCGGGGATGGGGATGGGGATCTGCTGCCGGAAGGAGAGCCCGTTGGAGTTACGCTACGACTGAGGTTTGGCACCGGGCAGGGAGGCATCGGGTTCGGGTCATTCCACCGCTGTGGAACCGATGAAATGAGTGCTCAACGGCAAACGAGTGGTGATAGAAGAAAATTACTCGGAATTCGAAGTCTTTCGCGGACGGCGTGATGATCCTGACTTCCTGTGCGGTGGAGGCATTGTGCATGGCTTTCGGTCCAGGCGATGCGTACGAAACGCTGCCGACGAGGACATTCTGGCATACGGTTCGCGACTGAGAGATACGGTGTCAGCGTCGCCCGGCGCCTAACGGAAGCAGATGTGGCACCTACAATGGCGCACAAAATATAGCCTTTGTATGGATCCTTGTGTTTCATCCGGAGGTAGGCGAGCACCGCAGCACGATCCTGAGTGATTGTACTGTAGTGCATCGACTTGACCTCGGTAAACTCGTCGGGGTGGACGAGATTGAGCGACGGCGTGCCAATAAGTTCATGCGGTTCGAATCCTGGTTCGACTTGAGCGCCTTATTACCGGCCAAGACGGAGACAAGTTCATACCTAGCAAGTCTGATACTGATTCTGAACAGTATAGCCACTTTGCCTTGTGATCCCCAGCATCAGTGTGGGGTGAGGGGTGGGCGTCAAACAGAGCGCCTTACCTCTTCAGTGAAATCGACAATTCCGACTGGACAGATTGATGGCTGGGCTCAGCTCAAAGGCTCTATGTATCGAAAGGAGGTAGACATACTGAAGGAAACGCGCGGAGTGTCCGAATTCATTGCTGGTGACGATGAAAGGAGGCGGTACGGACGCGTAGGCAGTAGGAAGTGGTGGAAGAAGAGAGAGAAGTGCAGTATTTCGTGGAGATAAGTCGTGTATTTCTAGAAGCACTGGACTGATGTTCCGTACTAGGCAAGACAAGGGCACGTAACAATGATATGTAAGGAACAGGAAGACTCCGGGAAAAGATGTCGGATCACTGTGTGGTTTTCTGACGGTGTTCGAGGTCAGACAACAAGGAGGTGGGATGACGACGGCGTCACGAATACGAATACGGTTCAACAATAAATAATCTGGGTTGAGCCAGCTGGGAACATTCCAGTCTCTCTCGCGAGACACGTCAAATTGGCCGGAAAAGCTGGAGGCCCGCCAGCGGAGCCGTCGACGGGGAAGGGTGGACCAGGGTCGGTGACGGACCGCGTGCAGGGTGTGCTGTCCCAGCTGCTGGCGTCAGAACACTGAGCGGAAGTAATTGGGTACGTTATGGCTCGTCCAGCTGAGCGGTGCCCGCGCGCCTAGATCCAACGCGCAGAGCCAAATCTTCCCACACTCACCGATTCGCAAACTCAATCCCGCCATTTCAAATCCCTCAGATTCCCTACTACCCGAGTTCTCCTCAACCTTCAAATCTCGGTAAAACCTCCCTGCAACTTGCACGAACTCTCACCTGGACGTAAACCGCGCGTACGCGGAAGCCTGAGACTCCAACATTCCCAGCCTGATATGTGGTCAACCGCGCGTGATATTGCCGCCGGAGATCTGGTTATCGTATGGCTTGTGAGGCGCAACTCCATACATTTAATTCGCCACATGCTTGACTGCTGCGCCTCTAGACGAGAGAGCTCCTCCAACCGCTCGTGATCACTCCAGGAAAAGAGTTCAACAGCAAGTTCGGTGTCTACCGCCACTCTGACCTCGTCGGCGTGCCCTATGGATCCAAGATAGGTTCTCGCAACGGCAAGGGCTTCATACACGTCCTCCGCCCGACGCCGGAGCTCTGGACGCTCGCCCTGCCGCACCGTACGCAAATCCTCTACCTCGCTGACATTGCCTTTGTCTGCTCATGGCTCAATATCAAGCCCGGCAGCCGTGTCATCGAGGCTGGTACGTGCATACATTCTGCCAATTTTTCTCGGGAGACGTTATTCTCGCCATTGAATTCAAGTTTGTCGACGTTTCCAACTGCATGGGCGATCGATTGCACTCTACGATCCCGCCAGCAGCATCGGGGCTTGTCTCGTTCACGCTCATAGCGGCTTGGCGATTCATCCATAGTCCATCTCCGATCGCAATGTTGTTATCATACCGGTCATCCTCCGTTATTAATGTGGCAACGCCACCACCGAGATGTCCGCAAACATCAGGCTCTCCGCTTGCTACTTGCTCGTCGTTCGCACTAATGCTGTGATTGACCTCTTAATTTAACAGGTGAGCCAACCCACTTTCCCAAGAACTATGCATCCATGCTCAGCCTCTGATGTTGTGTTGCCTCAGGCACGGGCTCTGGTTCCTTCTCTCACTCCGTCGCTCGGACAATAGGTCCCACAGGGCACCTGTGGTCATATGAGTTTCACGAGGCCCGCGCCAACAAAGCGAGGTACGTCCATTCCATAGCCATTTTGTTGTTTCAAAATCGACAAGCACCCTCGAGACGTGTCGTCTCGGGCAGAGAGCGATTATGAAAGCGGCAAGGATGCCCGTAATCGAATCCTCTGTCACGATCAGCGATCAACATCTGCTTGAGATGACGGCTGACAGTTGGTTCGCTTACAGAGAGGAGTTCACACGGCATGGAATGGATGACATCGTCACCCTGACACACCGCAACGTCTGCAAGGACGGCTTCACCGTCACAGACACCGTCGACGCAGGTACGTTGCGAGTCCTCCCACCTAAACCGGGTCTTTACTCGTACTGCACTCTTCCAGTCTTCCTAGATCTTCCCGCCCCATGGGAAGCGGTAGATCACGCCAAGAAAGCATTACGAGTGAGTCCAGATCAGCTGCGATCTCGTCTCGCCTGCGATGGCGACTGATCGCCCGGCTGATGGCAGAAAGACCGGATAGCGCGCATATGCTGCTTCAGCCCGTGCATGGAACAAGTCCTGCGCACCGTCAACGCGCTGAACGATGCAGGCTTCACTGGTACGACACCGCACCTGCGTTTCTCCCCTCCGCCGCGCCCCATGCTGATCTCCGGCCTGCCCCCACGCAGACATCACCATGTATGAAACGCTCTCGCGCCCGCATCAGGTTGACTCCGTCCCTCCGCCACTCCCAATCAGCGCCATCAGCGCGAAACTCAAAAAAACCGAGCAGCGCCGGGAGGATAAACGCCTTCGGCAGATCGCCCAATCACGCGCTGCCGCCGCGAACAAGCGCAAGCGCGCCGATGATGCTGAGCACGACTCCGATGCCGACCCCGTCGGGGGCAAGAGACCGAAGATGGATGACGAGGAGCAGGCGCCGACCCCGTCGGAGAACACGCTGGTGGTGTCGGAGGAGGAGCTGCAGTTGGCTGAGTCGTCGCTCGATGCTGCTGAGCCGCTGCCATTGACCAAAATGAGCCTGTCGAAGGCATTCCCTGAAGTCCGAGGACACACGTCCTACCTCACCTTCGCGTGTCTGCTGCCAATGCCACAGGGGGCACCGACCGGCGAGACTCCTGCGGATACGACGGAAGAAACGAGCGCCGTTGATGTAAATATGCCAGCAGAGGTAAGCCGTTGGACGACATATACGAGGAATTTGAGCTCATTTAGAGCATCTAGGATACACATAGTAGCGATACAGCGGTCATCTCTTGAGCTACATATACTGATACGACTCAGGCATATTATTCTGGCTATATCTAATTGCAGGTCGCTCGCCGATATGCGTCTTCCATCTCCACCTCCTCTTGAATCTTACTCGCACTTTTGGACGTGCGTGTGCGCAAAACTCTTGTCGAAGGAGGCACAGAAGGAGCGGCTTTCTTCGCACGCTTTGCAGGCGAACCGCGAGTCGAGGGGACGTTTTCTTCTTCCATTCCTGGATTTGAATCGGCGTCGTCTTCTCTCGTGCGCTTTCTTGTCCCGCGAGCAGCGACTCTCGACGTCCTGGTTGGCATTGTCGTCTTCTCAGGCGTCATTCTTCCATTGCTAAAGGCGGCCATTTGTTTCGCTGCTGCCCTAGTGGATCTTGCGACCGGCTCTAATTCAGACTTCATTTGCACTTCTTTCTGTCCACCGCTGAGAGGTACTTCTTCTTGCCTTGCGGCATCTTCTACGAGCTCAAGTATAGTCTTCGGTATTCGTTCTTCCGGCAGCTCTGCTTGTTTCCACGTCGAGTGCGGCACCTCCACTTCTTCCATTCCTTCCTCCTCGTCCTCCTCGTCGAATTGTTGAAGGGCGCTAGGGGTTTCTGAAGGAATCTCCTCCATCATATTGGCATCTAATCGGTCCATGGATTCCTCCCTGCTCGCAGCCAAGGATATAGTAGTGGATGTGTGCGGATGGAAATTTCTTGGCAGCGTGTAAGGCTGCACGACGTCATCTGCCCCTGTGAGGAAACCTCCCTGCTGCTGCTGGGGCTCCTGTTCAAACATTAGCGTCAGGGTCTAGTCACACTAGATAATGAATTGAGCCTGCGGCGGCAAGTCCGAACCTCGTCAACGGCAACAGCAGGCGAGCTCCCACGCTGGTCTGGGTGTGCATATTGTTCTTGCAGTCGTTGCCGGATTCGAAGCCCTTGTATCAGTTTAGTCCATCGTTTGATGACCTGTTCCTCCCGTTTCGCACGTCTTTTCTGTTCGGCATCGTGTTCGGCTTCCCAATAAGCCTGCGTTCATTAAGCAGGCCAGTGTCAAGTTGGACATCAGTGCACACGCTAGCGCATGGCGGATTGTCAGACGCACCTCGAGCACGGCTTCTTCGTTCTCCGCTGCCACGACAATGCCGGTAATGACAGGGAAAGCCTGTCGTTTCTTGAATTCGAAACCGGTCTGCAGATAGACGGACTGAGCGTATCGCCGGAATGACAAGTGGAGCAATCATACCACGGCTTCCGCATAGTCAAACCCTAATTGCCGTGCAACTTTAGCCGTGCCTTTGTCTTAAAACATCGCACGTAAGCAACAACTTGAGCGGTCTGCAACCGCAGGAAAACGCTCACATGGAATATGTACTGCGCCTGCGGGGAGCATAGATGGCACATATAGATCGATGTTGCCAAAGTCATTCCTCGGTATCTTGCCCTAAGGATATCATATGAGCAGACCGACATTGGCAGCACAGTAGATCGGAGAGCCTGACTCACATTGACGACTGGCTCAGGTATACAGAGCTCAGTCTGACTCTCAGCATACAGCCCCTGCATCACGCCGTCCTCGCTCCCAAAACCCTCGGCTTCTGGCAGGCCTTGGGCAGCCCTTTCTCTCCGTGCGTCCAGCGCCATCTCTATCGCGCGTTGCTTGTTGACGGTCATAGCATGCTGCTTGACCCACTTCATCGGCTGAGCGCCTTCGCGCACCTTGCGGCCCTGGCGCATCCAGTTCTCGGCAGTCTTCAACGATAGCACCGAGGACCGCGCATAGACAGGCTCTCCTCGGAACTTGCCCAGTTCGACAACAGGATGAACGACCTCGTCTCGCTTAAGATGTCGACCCAACACGTATCTATAAGATGTCAGTCAGTGGACAGCCGAGCCAATCGTTGCAGTAGCCTCACAATGGATGGTCTTTGAAGCCAATCATAGTGGTAGGCATTCCTTCCGTTATTTGATGAGTGTGCAGTTCGTCATCCTCCAGGTCGTCTCTATGCTATGATCGACACACCATCGGATGTCAAGAGAATTCTTAAACTGAGAATCATCGGACGCGCTCACCAGTCTATACGGCCTGTTCACCATTCGCACAATCCTCTCCCACCATTCCTTCCTCCCCTTCCCGCCTTGCTGCACCTTCGCCACCTTCGCACCATACTCTCTCGCATATCTCGGCGTGACGTCTCGCGCAAAACCATCTTCTTCGAACGCCACGACGTACACCATCCGGTTCTCGACTTTCAGCGGCCGAGTGCGGTCCGGCTTGATGGGTGCGTTGGGGTTCGGGTTCGGGTCGAAGGCCTTGCGTTTGCTGATGATGCATCGTATGGGGTCGACTGGGAGCCAGCGTGCATCCGCTCGAGAGAAGACTTCGGTCCAGAATACAGGAGGTGTGAGGGTCGGGTCCGGGGTGCGTTCGCCTGGATGTTCATTATGGGAGATGCAATATGCGCATATAGTCGGTCAAACGGCATGCGAAAGCACAAACGGGAACGACAACGTACGGGCTGGGGCTCTTTGCACTGAGGACGAGCCCAACTTGCGACCATGAGATTTTCGCAGCTTGATAACAGGCGGCGTCTTCCCTTTGCCTTTTGGCGCTCCATTATTGATCGGTGTGGACGTACGTCCGTCGAGACGCTGTCCATTCCCCGGAAACACTTCGATGTCGCTGGACTTCCCCTTCTCTACAGTACCATCGACGACAGCCGGCGACTCCGGGATAGCGACTTCCTCCATATCCATATCATCTTCATCCTCGTCCTCTTCCGCCTTGGCCTTGGCCTTTCCCTTGCCGTTATCCTTCTCTCTCTTCTTCGCAGGGGATTTGGGCTTCCCAACGCCAGCCTGCCACGGCACGCTCTGCAAGCTGACGACGAGGCGAGCGGGGATCCCGAGCGCCCTGCAAAGCGCCGTGAACAGTTGCGCGCTGGTATCCCTCGATCCGCGCATCATCAACGCGTGCTTCATCAGGCTCTTCTCGCTGCGGATCCGCTCCCCATCGTCATCGTCCTCGTCGTCCTCGTCGCGTGCCCGAGCCTTGCCCTTGCCCTTCGGGTCCGCGGAGAGCGTCCGCTGCACCTCGTCGAAGGTGCGGTTCCGGAGGTGGCCCGTGGGCATGACCCGGAAGCTGCTGCTCCACCACTCCGTGAGACGCACGATCGCTGCCTCGAACATGCGCCCGCGCTGCGCGGCGTCGGGATAGCGCGACCTGATGATCGTCGCGAAGGCATTCTGCAAAGGGAGGGGCGTGAGAGACATAAGTCGTGCCTATGGTGAGAGATTGTTAATATGCTGTAGGAGAGACGCATGAAAGACAGTAATGGGGTGTTGCATGGATAAGACGTACATGCAGGAGAGGATCGTTAATCCATTTGTCTCGTATGCGAGCGTTCGCCAGGAGGGCTACAGTATGCAGCTGGTGGCATGTCAGGCGAGCCAGGCGCTCAGCGTACAGTTTCTCAGCTTGAGGGTTCTTCCTACATGCACATTGAGCACCTCAGTAGCATCTCTACGGACCAAGCAGCAATACTACTTCGGAGTGCCCTTCTTTACCCTCTTCTGAGTCTGTATTGTGATCTCGATATGCGGCTTCTCCGACGGGCCTTCCTGGATGTCATCCTGCCAAGCGTCCGGTACGGCGGGCAGCTCCTGAACTTGCTCTTGCTGAGGGACGACGACCTCCTCCCAATCAAAGTCGTCGTCGCTGTCTGCTCCAGCGACAGAGCTGTTTTCGGTACTTTGCTGCATGATAGATGGCCTTGAGACGAACTTATGCTGGTGTGTGCGGGTTGAAGTCGTGGTGAGCTCTTCCGATTAATCAAGGTAGTCGAAGCAGGGTATCGTCCAGGTAGAGTGGCCCGCTGAGTAAGCCGATTGCTCCTGTCTCCGCGACAGAGGAGTCGCCAGAATAACTCACCTGTATATCGGCGGGATGGACGTCAAAGAACCGTAGCAAGATGGCGGAAAGAGTTAACGTTCGCGCCTTACTTGCAGCGAGACGCGTCGCGGTCAAGTCACAGGATAATGAGTCGCGTGTCACATGCTTGTCGCGACCCAGTGACACTAACGTACACTCAGAGCGCGTCGTGCCATGCCAGCCGCTCTTGAGGACACGGACATGACTTATTTATGGATGATCACACGAAGGATTTGATAAGATGCAAGGCATCATGCATTGGGAAGGAAATGCGTCTATGGTATTGTACAGTACAATAATGAGATGTACACTATCCAGCAGTGTACGCGAAAGCGAATATCATGGTAGGTGTCGTGATAAATGTCATAAAAGATGCATCGAGAACGCTACGGCTACACATACACCTCCTCCATCCACACCTCACCGGAGTCCGGATCCTCTCAAGCGGCGCACGAACCAGCGTGCGCTCACTCGGAGACGGTGAACCTGAGCTTGAGCTGGCCGTCAACGGTGACCGGCTCGCACTTGATCCGCTCCATGTTCTCGACAAGATAGTGCGCGCCGCAGTTCTCGATCTTCGAACGCTCGTGTGACGTGCAGACGGCGATGACTGTCGCACCGGAGGCAACGCCAGCCTTGATGCCCGAGGGCGAGTCCTCAAAGACGACGCATTTCTTCGCGTCGTAGCCGAGGCACTTGGCGGCGAGGAGGAAGGGGTCGGGGGCGGGCTTGCCGGCCTTGAGGCGCTTGTCATCGGCAGTGATGGTGACGGGGGGTGGGGTGATGCCGACACGGGTCATGCAACCGTACGCTGGAGGACGATATAGGTCAGCGCCAGGTCATGCAGACAAGGGAAGAAAATTGTACGCACCATATGTCTTAGCACCTGAAGTAGCAACAGCATACCGTCCCTCAGGGATGGACGAGATCATCCTCTTCACACCAGGGAGGATGCGGACAGAGCGGTCGACAGCGGTCGCCTCCAGCTGCCACGCCTCCAACTGGTGGATCTTCTCCTCCTTCCCCTTCTCCTGCTCGAACATGCTCTCCTCGTCCTCGTCCACCGTCACATCTGCGACACGAGCGCGGTCTGTGCCAGACATCACGAGCAGACTGCTGACACGGTGGAGGAATGATGGGCGACGGCGGAATGCGGTGAGGTTGCTGAGGCCGCCGGCGAACGACGACGCTCGGGATGAGTTGCGCGATGAGGGGTTCGACGCGCCAGGGGTGAGGGCGGGTGTGGTTGCGCCGGAGGCAGCAGGGGACGCGAGAGGAGAGTTCTGGCAAGAGCCAGGGCCGTGCATGTTGTACGCATCGGCGAAGTATAGGATGGACTCCTCGAATGCCTGAACCTCGTCGTCCATCTCGTGCGACTTGATGTGGGGCTTGAACTGCGCGAGGTTGTCCACAGCGCGTTTGCCGTGTGTCGCAGCGATCACGTAGGCCGGGTCCTGCCCGATGTCCTTTGCGACCTTGCCCCATGCAGCCTCAACGGCGGAGATGGAGTCTGTGAGAGTACCGTCCTAGAGAACACGTTGTGAGGACCGAGTTGGATAAAGAGAAATCAACCATCGACGTACCATGTCAAAGAGGACGGCATCGGCGTAGAAAGTCTTCTGGTTGTTCTCAAAAGACATGATGACTGAGAATGAAGGCGGAGAGTGAGGGGATGATGAAGGTATGGGTGATGGCAAGTCCGTGCAACGGTGGAGAGGGTGCAGAATCCGAATGGTCTTTTATATCGGTTCGGGTATGTTTCGAATTCGACTGAGTGCAGCGGATGAGGATAGCGAGTTCGAGCACGGGCCATTATATACAAATGGGAGTGGAAAAGAATCATGCGAGGCTTTGTCAAGGCCGTGACAGATAGTCCAACACAAAATTTGGAGGGTCGCTTCTGGAAGAAAGGCGCTCCGAGGGTTAGGAAATGGGGTGGCGCTGAAAGCGGCGGACGGCACAATTGTGAAGGCGACCGAAGCGCGGCGCAGTCTTGTTCGGCATTTCCTTTTTGGGGCGCAGTGGCCAAAAATCCGAGGTATCGATGCAGGCGTTGAGTTGTAAAAGGCAACACCTTCTACGCCCGCCAAATCGGGGGTTCTCCGGCAATCAGCCCGCTCCACGACCGCCGCCCATTTATCTTTGAGGGTCCTTCCATCCTTACCGTTGCCCACTGCCGTCGCGACGTGTGTGAATGTGCGCGGCAGCCAAGTGACGCGATCACACGCGATGAAACAAGTGTCCGCTAAGAAGATACACTAAGTATATCGTTGTCAGAAGGCTTCTCGCCACGTACTCGCAACCCTCCATGAGGCTATACAAAGACGCCAAGGCGAGCCACTCGCGAGACGCCACACCGAAGAGGCGACGTCGAGCTATGATTTCAGCGTGAACGCTTACACTGCAGAGCGGAGCGGTGGCGCTAATGGCTCTCGAGCGCCCACGCCTGGAAATGGCAACTCTCCGACCTCTCCAGTCAATCCTGCTCTGTCGATATGACGATCCTGACCGCAATGTCTCCCATAAGCCGCCTTCAATCGCCGCCTGGTCCACTTGCAAAACCGTCCATGACGAGCATTGGTTATCTTGGGGTGCATTCCGCGCTGCAGTGGCGCAGATACGCTAGCGCGTTCCCAACGCGAAGAACTCTGCACATCGATGCTCCATCACACGAAGCTTCTCGCTTGCCACCATCGGATTGCCATGTTTATGACATTGTGCTTTCGTCCAGGGTGATTTCACTGGCGAATCGCAAGCGACTTCGAATGAGGGTGAGCGGAAGAGCCGAACGTCGGTGGGGCAATTGCACACGGTATTGCAAAGAGTGCCGTCAATGCCGCCCCCCGGATCAGTGGGCGTCCTGACTCTCACCTTCCAAGCCTGACACTGCATAGACATCTCTGAAGGCTCTGATCCACATTCGTCTTCCCTGTCGGACCACTCGGACGCTAGAAGAGACCTAAGTTCCGCGAATGTACGCGCCCCAAACCACTCGGCGGACACGAGCGTGTGTCAAGCGCGATGCTCGGAAGGCCGTGGTGGCGTCCAGTGACAAAACAGCTCACTGTCGCCCGCATCGTAAATCCATCAGCATTTTTCAAGCACATTTCACACATTCGATCACTCAACGCGTCATCGGTGGGATTTTGGGGGTCCTTCAAGCAAAAACACACATGCAATACCCTTTTGAAGCGCAGCGAATTTGTAGTGGCCGTCGTCACTTTATTCGTCCAAGCGGGGTTTTCGTTCCTGACAGCCTTCAGCTTGACGACACGGCGCGCGCGTGCTCGCGCTTCGAATTCGCGAAGGTCGCTCACAGCTCTATCTCTGGCATCACCTTCCTCTTTCATGCTACTCGTCCTATTTCTCGCCTATCGCGGGCGCGACAGATGCGGGATATATCCGAAATGGCAGTGGAAGATACGGCATCCTGCACAGCACGCTTGTTATCGGCGCGTTCACGCGCCAGAGCCGCCTTCGCATCTTCCTGCTCGGACCTCTACCGTATCTGTTCTGGCGGTTAACGTTAACTGCACTCGTGCCCGATCCTTGACGTGGGCCCTGGCAGGATCCGTGGACGCGTGATGAGCTGAGCTGGCAGGTGCTCCGAAGCATACAGAGTACTCTTGCTTTCCTGAGCCACTTCTCATTCAACTCCGTCTCGTTCACGCGCCCACGCGCTATTTTTGTATCGTATTGATACTGGTGGCGACGTCGGTTATCATCACGTACTCGCGCCTTCACCGATTATAATCGTGCGATTGGGGTGCTGTGGAGCTGAATGAGCCATCTCCACCCTGCATTTATTCAGTTATGCTCCGAGAGCCCAAGGAGGAGCTAGCAAACCTCAGTGGAGTGTATGCGACTCCTTCGAACCCTGCTCCTGAGAAGGCGATGGTTATCTGGATATCTGTCAACAAGGGTCGCATCGCGCAGCCGCGCGCGAGACTTTCATCTTCTTACATTCACTGCCATAACGGACGATCAGCGCTCTCAGCGAAGAGACCGTCTCCCTCAAGAGGTAACCTTCCAATGAGCGTCTCCCCTAGGCCTTCTTGATAACCGTTTGAAGCCCCTGAATCTAATATATTGCCATTGATAGATTGACGCCTCGTATGTTGTGGTGACGCATAGAAGCTCGTCACCGTCCGGTATGCCCTGCAATCTTCTAGGGTGCGTCGCGGATATAGCGCTTCTTGTTCGTCTTGAGCATTGCTGTACTCCTGGTGCGATCTTCTCGAGCTCGTACATGTGTTCTCCTATGGCGTGGACGCTAACGAAAGTACCGCGTCTTCTAGCTCGCTCTGATTGTCTTGCTGGTTTCCGAGTGGGTTTGTGCGCGGGTTTTGCCATGCTCTGTGCTCTTCTGTGAATGTCGTTTCGCCATCTGCGTACGATCCACAACGATCTTAGACATCTCGTCTTGTATCAGTATGCTGGCATGCTCTGAATCCTCCTGCAGGAATGTCAACGGGTGAGACCTGTCGACCAGGTCAAGTTCGGCTGGATATTATCATGTCCTATTTTGGTCCATGCTCATCCCACTGCTAGTTCGAGCTTGGAATTTTAGGAACACCGTGCAAGTTCTAGCCGTTTCGTCTGTCCTGCCTCTCGCCTCGTTTGTTATCGCGATATCAGCATTCATGTTGCCTTCGACCGCTTATACAATTCTGGATAATGATGCTCGCGGGTTACATCCAGCTGCCCTTGCCGAGCGTCCGGGGAACTCACATTCGCAATATTCCGCCTGTGCTCCACGGCATAATGATCACGGTGCAGTTGGATGTTGCTATTGTGGTGTCTACTGATTTACGAATGCTATCGGGCTCGTACGAGTACCGTAGGAAAGTAAGCCGCCTCTGACTAGTTTCTGCTTAACTAGCTGATCACTTTTTGATTCGTGGGCAGCAGACTATCATTGCAATGACACCATTCACCGATTGTAGAATGTTGCTTGAAGCACGAATGCATGAAGGCTTGGAATTTTTTCAAAGATCTCGCATGAGTACCCCAGCCACAACCATTATACAGTCAATATTCGTCCTGCCTCTGGACAATCCAGCGTAACGAGGGTACTCTAATTAGATGGGTACTACGAATGATATTCCGCCAATTTCGAATTATCCCGCCTCACCAGATTAAATTCGAAATGCAACGGCGCGCGGTGGCTTGGTAACCGGACTGCACAGCCACCCTTGTTTTCCATATGCGGTAGTGCCCCGCCTCCTCCCGCCTCGCACTAGCGCTGCGGGAGTTCGGACTCTGGATGGTCACACCCAACAAACCATTGCCCATGCGGACATTGTTTTTCGTTTGCTCTATCTGGTTGGCGCGCACCCGTATCCCAGGCCTGAGTCGGTATCCGATTCCGTTTCGATACTGACCGAGTAGTTCAAGAACCCACGAAAACGCTTCTGATATTGACTATCCTCAAGAGTCCCGACATGGCAAGGTATGATGAGGTGCATTGCCTTGCTCAGGTCATTATATAGGTGCAGACCCCTCGCCGCAAAATGCGATATGAGAAATATTTTCTTCCTCCGAGCCCTGCAACCAAATCAGTGTTCTCCTTGCCGATGCAATCCTCGTCACCGGCTCCTTCGTAAGCTCCTTCCTGAGCGTCGGCTCGTTCTTTTTCATGTCATGGAGCAATTGCATAGCTGCACGGCTCAATCCAGGGTTATCTCTGGTTTTCTCAGGTCGCAAGAGATCAGAAACGTACTCACTCCTGTTCAAGAAGCAGCTCCCAGACGCTCTCAGACTTGATGCTCGGATAGCGCAGGAGACGACGGCGCTGGACGAATCGTGAAGGAATGCGCGCAGCGATAGATTGAGGATCATCAATTTCGGTATGATTGCCCCCCCCCCCCTCACTTTCGCCGCTCTCTCCGCTCGCAACGTCCGTTCGCTGCCTCCATGATGGCCAGGTCGGTGGGATCAAAGTCGACGGGCCGTTTTTGTTTCCCGACATCCTTCGTGAATTCAACAACATAGAGGTGCTCGAACTCACACGTCGTTACTATTTTGTGGGTTCCCACCTGTACAGCCGCTTCCGGAACTCTCATCGCTACAGAATTTGCAGCAAAGGCGGTTGTAGAGGACTGGGCCGCTTCAGGCGTGAACTGCGGTTTTTGCAAGTGCACTGGCCTACACATTTTCGGATTACATTGCTCCATAGCCCCGTTGGCTTCAGTCTCGCATTTTCAGGGAGGGGAGTTTAGAGACGATTCCCCACGTAGGTCGTGACCTTCGTATCGTGGATCAAGACTCCCAGTGTCCTCAATATTGTGTTCTGGATCCGTCGCCCTGTCCGAATGATAAATCTCGCATCCGCGAGATCTGACCGCTTGGATTGAGGATATCGCTTCACCTCTGTCGTGCTCAGAGTTCTGCGATCTCGAAAATGCGACGTTCGAGATTGTTGGTGGAGAGACTTCAAACAAGCCGTTGAACTTTTCATCAGACAACAGTCGCCCGAACTGTGACCGAGGGATTATTGTGTTGAACGATCACCGGCACCAGCTGTTTACGGTCGCAGCGCATAATTGCTGGCTTATGGCATTGATGTGTATCTCCAGTGCATATATTGGTATGGACGGCAGACTAAGACGATGCGTCTGTGGGAGATGAACTTTAATAAATATGGTATGCATTACAAGACCGAAGTCAACATTGTTGTTATTGGGTGTTATGACACAACGAATAGCAACGAATACGCGGGTAATTAATGTCGTTGACCCCCATAGACGTCAGACGCTCGTCCGCGGGTGGCTGAAAAGTTTGAGTTGAGGAACTGTGCAGCCGCTATATAGCTGCAAACGATGAGCGAACCCCCCCGCCCTCCTCTCGAAGGAGCGCAACTATCACCAGGTTTGTGAGAATAATGACATACAGGCATCAAAAGAGCATCCTAACTCTCGATCTATCTAGAGTCTTCAGACGAATCTCTGAAGAGCCTTAAGAGAAGCTACCTGAGCGTTTTGCCTCAAGTGGAAATCATCGAGATATGTCTCGCGTTCGAGCCCCATGTACCGCCGCAGGTGCGCAACACCGTATGGCCCGCTGACCTCGAAGCCGCCATTCTTGCTCTGAAGAAGGAGCCTCTCACACCCGCGAACACTATCGTCATACCTACCAATGTGGACCCACCCTTCGCACCCCAACCCGCCCCCGCCGGCGCTGCGGCTGATGTATCCTCGCAGCAGGTGCATCCGCCTCGTCCGACGATGAACGGAGATGTCGCGCCTCCGATGGCTTCTCTGGTGGATGATGCATCCATGAAGGCAGCTCAGCAGCCTCAGACGGACGCACCCACCACTGCAGTTGAGCCTCCCCAAAAGTCGCCAGAGACCCCTACATCTGTTGCTTCGACTGTGGCCTCTTCTACCCCTGCTCCTCCGACAGCATCGCAGTCTGCCACAGCGTCCGCCTCTACCTCTGATGCGCCGACGCCCCAGTCCCAACCCGCCACGAAGGCGCAGACTCACCCCCATTCGCCATACCCTTACGCACCATACGGCTACAGCCCTCAGACACAGCAGCCTGCATACCCTCATACACCGTATTACGCGCCGCCGTTACCCCACTCTAACGGATACCTTCCGCCTTTCCACTATGCAGCCTATCCTCCTCCTCCTGGCTACCTCTCGCCGGTACTAGGGCACGCGCACATCCAGTCTCCGTACCCATCGTATCCATACTCTCACTCGTCCCCATCCCACGCCGGTTCTGTGCCCAGCTCTTCGATGCCCTCGCAAGTGCCTGTCCCGCCGCCGCCGGCGGACGATTTGCCGTCGTACGAGGAGATGATTGTGGAGGCGTTGCTCGACACGGGAGACCCTGAGGGTGCGGCGCCCAAGGATCTGTTCGCGTGGATGGCGGCGCATTATCCGTTACAGACGAACTTCAGACCGAGCGCGAGCCAGGCGCTCCAGAAAGCGTACAAGCGGGGCAGGCTGGAAAAGAGGCCGAGCGGGAGATATCGATTGAATTCGACGTGGGAGGGAGGCGCTGTAAGTCTCGAATCGTAACTGTCCGGGCTGCCAGTTGTGCTTGTTGTGTGCTCATCACAGTGTTATAATGTACTACAGACGTCGAAACGTACGACGCGCCGCCCACAAACGTTGGCACAGACAACATATGCTATGCACCATCCACCACAGCCACCTTCGTCTCCATTCACCAACGCTCCCCTACAGCATCACCACCACCAACAGCGTCAGCAACCTCCCTATCTCCAGTCCAATGGACCTCAGGCTGGGGCATATCCGGGCTATCCCTATGGCTATCCACCAATGGGCTATCCGTCGTATGGTACTCCTGGATACCCAGCGTTCCCCTCGCACGACGTTACAATCATCGGCAAACCTGGCACCACAACATTGGCGTCCTCTGCGATTCCTGCTACGGCCACTCTCGCAACTTCTTCACTATATACGATTGCCTCGTCAGACCCGGCGACAGAGTCTGCATCTCAGGAGAATCAGAAAGATAGTGCCGATGGCACGAGCAATGCTAGTGCTTGGGAGGCAGCACAGCATATATTGGAGGCGATAAATTTCAACCTCCCTGCAGATACCCCGCAACAAGGGACTCCTGCTACTGCTACTGCTTCTAACTCGCAATATGCACCCGCCGGTGCGAGTACTGGAATAGGCTTCACTGGCGCTTATGAAAGTGCAATCGCAAGGTCAAGCGCCGGTGGGCAACGTATTACGCTAACCGATGAAGAGCGGGCATCGTTACAGGCGCAGCTTGCGCTGTTGGCCGCCCAGCTCGCGGAGATCGCTAATAGCGAAGAGGCCGATGAAGGAGAGGAGACCGACTTCGTGCATGTCGCGCGTCCCGGGGACGTTGACGCGTCCAGTCTGTCAAATGTCAAAGCGCAGGATGCAGTGGAGAAGGGCAAGAGCGTCGAATCGAGCCCGAGCCAGTCGCCAGAGGGTGCCTCGACGTACTCATTGCATCTTGAGCATATGGGAGAAGGTGGACCTGCAGTGCCCGTCATGCCAAGCGAGGATGTCAATATGCATCTGACGACGCAGGAGACGGAGGATAGTGACGAGGATGATGATATGGAGATGGTGGAAGTTCCCGCTCATGCGGGGTGGGATGCGTTACGGACTTGAAGGCGTCCGGATGTCTCGGTTCACCGTGCTTTGACGTCGTCGTTGCTGTCGCTTTCAGTTGTACTCTGGGTCATCTGTGGAAGGAATTGATGTACTGCGCCATTGTGCTCGAAGAAATGTTTCCGTTGAACTAGTCCTAGCGCGCCGCAAAAAATGAAGCTCGCCGCCACAGGACGTGACGGTGCGCTTGTTCCGTTCCCGATCTTCACAAGACAGCCGCCGAGAATGCTCTGATCTATTCCGAGTACCTTTCATTCAGGGGCTTGCAAGACTTGAAGTCGACAAATCAACTGTTGCACGGTTGCTCTCATATTTAATATTCAATATTAAAGCCTCACGCCTGCAGGACCCATGCATTCGGGAGTTCAAACCTTCACGCGTCACGACCAGTGCCCTCAAGTCATATAAATCATGATACTTGCTTTGCTTCTCTCACATGCGCCCAGCATAACCGTTTGGCATTGGAACGGTCCAGGGGGGCAATCAAGACAATATGAAGTCTTTTATAATATGCGATGATGCTATGCGATGATCGAACTGCCATCAAAAAGGCTGTGTGAGTGTCAACACTAGTTGAAACGTTGAACGTTGAACGCTTGTGGTTCTGTGTGATGTCAGCACATATATATCATCGTCGTTCTCCATTTTGACAAGCCACGTCTCGCGCACATTTGATTCATTTGTGAGCAACTACAATCATATTCTCGGACATTTGCTCATATAATGACACAAGCCGTCCGATCCTGCCATGGCCGCTCCAGTAGACACCAATGCTACCCCGCCTGTCAATAACCCTCAGCCTCGGCTTGCGCCCGAAATCCGCGAGCGCATCATCGACCATCTCAGTCCATATTTGGAAAGGCCGACTCTGTTGAACGAGGGCGACGCCGAGAGTCGCGCGGGCCTTTTCGAGGAGCTCGCGCTCCACACTCGCGAACAGGCGATCGCCTGTGCGAGGTCACTGACGCAAACACCTCTCCTCGGTGCCCGTGTGCGAAGCTTACAGATAGGGAATTCGAAGACCGAAGTGACTGGTCCGGAGTTGGCATCGATTCTCATAACGCTGGCAGGGAAACTTCCGAAGCTGGCCTTGCTCAACTTCTTCGACGTCAGCTTCGAGCAAAGCTCTATGCGCAATTTGGCTTTTTGGTGCTTGCCCGAATTCAGTCATATCACATCGCTGTCGCTACGTAATGTGATGTTGCCATCGGCGAGCTCCTTCTTTCAGGTCGTCTGTTCATTTCCTCGTCTGCAGTCCCTTCGTTGCTATTATCTGCGCTGGAGCGCATCAAGGTCCATGGCTCCACCGCCTGAATGCCACCGCATGCCTTTGACGGCAGTGACTTATTTTGACTTGTACCTGTCGTGCTTCGAAGGCATTGGACATATTCTTCTCTGTCTGCTGGATTAAGCTACCCTCAAAACACTCGACTTACATCTGCAAGTCTCTGCGGCGGCTCTTACTTTCGCTCAAGACCTCCTGAAGATCGCCGGCACGAGGCTCAAGCGGGCAAATTTCATTTTCCGGGCACCAGAGGAAGATGGCCATAGCGACATCCAACCCTTACTCTGTGATTACGCAATAAAATAATTTTACGTGCACAGCTTGGCTCATACTTTTCAAGTGCACCCTATCAGCTTCGAAGCAAATGTCAATCTGCAGAAACTAATTCTGGAAATCCACCCTTCAGAAATGGATGATGCTGCACTGTTTGTCCAGAGTGTGCTGCTGCCTCTGCTCAACACAATATCATCAAAAGATCTCAAGTATATCTATTTCTCCATACGAGGCCATTCAGGATGGGAAACAGATGCCTTGCTTAATGCATTGAATCCGGAGGTCTGCATTCAGATCGATGAGCTTTTGGCTGAGGGACACTTTGCCGAGCTGCAAGACGTTTCCATAGACTATGATCTATTCAGTATTGTGTTGGATGACTCACAGCGTGTTAGCTTTTCCACAGAGATCCTTGCCGGTTTTCCTAAACTGAATAACAAGAACATGTTGAAGTGCGTCATCCTCATCTCCTGGATACCTGACTGAACTCACGTAGATGCAGTATTACTTATGTCGGAGGCCGATTTCCAAGTGATGCTGAGAGGGCATTCAAGACGAAACAACTGGTACATGAGCAGCCTCGTCCAACCGAGCAAGCTGCCGCATAGGCAATTACTGCCTTTGCAGTCATGCCGTCTCGCCTTCACTTTCCTCTCCAAATCAACCTGAACGTGCAGCTCCTATCCCCCCCTCCTTCCCTGGAGAAATTCCGTCCCGTCTATGAATCATCCAGACCTTAGCCCGAGCATCGTACTCTCATCCTTGAACCCGGTCCGCCTTCATCATGCCGTCGCCGTGATCCTGGATATGGCACGTCGATGCCATGTTTACTATGGCCTATTGCATACCCCATGTCCTATTTGTCGACAACTACAGTTACGCCGTCGTCCACGGTCATCATGACATCCCTTGTCCCCGCAATCGCCATCTTCGCACAAGATTATCTCGACTCTCGCTCCATATTTTCTAGAACGTCCAGCAGTTTTCCTGCGCCAGTTTGTGTACTCAGTGCCAGATGTAGTTATGCATGCCGGACAGGATTCCGTGTACCTTTCCCTCGCCTCGCTTGACCTGTACCTATGTCTTGCTATTCGGTCCTCGGATTCGTTCTACGCAACCTAGGGGATCTCGTGATCGCGTCCGGTGCTAATCGACTTAACTGTGACCTTCTGTGACCCTAAGATGCCGTGACAAGCACGCTTAATTTACCACAAATAGAAATAATGCCCAAGCATAGAGCCTAAGCGCCCGTAAGCGCCGACCGTGACCGTGACAGGTCGGACGAGGGTCGGGCATCGGTCAGTACCTTCGGGAAAACCCAGTCACGTGATGCAATGCTTGATCGCGACGCGTACTCCGGAGCATGCTGCAGCGCCTCAGCTTTCCTTATTTTCCACCTTGTTCCTCCTCTCGAAGTGTACGACGCGTCAGACTGCACAACGCGTTCATCCCAACGGCTGATTATGACCGCGAAGGTAGAGCTATACGTGTATGACCTCAGCAATGGCCTCGCCAGGCAGCTCTCCGGTCAGCTTACTGGCAGGCAGATTGATGGTATCTGGTGTGTATTCAACGCTTGCGCGTCTCTTCCGAATCCTCATTTAAGGGATCTCAATAGGCACACGTCCGTCGTTGTCTTCGAACGAGAAATCTTCTATGGTCAGGGTATCCTGGAGACAAGACCTGGACAGTCTCATGTACGTACAGCCTGTTGCACTGCATGGCTAATATCGCTCACCGCTCAATTCTTGCGTCACAGCATGGAAGACCGTTAGAGGTCATAGACATGGGCGAGACTGCGATAGACGAAGACATATTTAATGAGTATCTGAACGAGATGCGACAACACTATACGGCTGATAAGGTATGCACCATAAGCTCACGAAATTACGCAGGTTGCTCATCATTCATCCCCGTTTTAGTACCATTTACTAGGTATACGGTGCATTTGCCTTGTAAGAGCACGTACGTTTTGCTGATCAGGACTGCCAGAATTCAATTGCAATTCCTTCACGAATGATGTCATTGGATTCCTCACAGGCGGCTCTATACCCCCTCGGATCAAAGGTGCGATACTAAGAACCTACTTTCGAGCCTCAACTAACGTTATTTATGCAGATTTACCTTCCGACTTCCTATCGACGCCATTCGGTGCTGCACTGCGCCCGACCATAGATGCAATGTTCCGTCGTCCCACGCCCGGTGCCACTCCCACCCCCACTACGCTTCAACCATCGCCTGCAGCAGCAGAAGCAGCTATCGCTGCTTCCCCCAATCCTGGTCTGGCTGCATCTCTCCTTCAGGCCGTCGCGTCGCAGGCCTTCTCCCCCTCCGCTCCCGGCGCTGCTGCTGCTGCTGCGCCATCCGCATCTACCTCCACCGTGTCGGCCCCCGTTCACATCTGCACCAATCGTGCATCGCTGCACTCACTGCTGCATCAACACCGCGCGGTCATCGTGTTCTTCACAAGCGCCACCTGCGGGTCATGCAAGATGGTAGAGCCGGTTTTCGAGGAGCTTGCGTATGCGAAGACGCACGGTGCGAACGCAGACAAGATAGCCTTTGTGAAGGTGGACATGGATATGGGCACGAGCCACGAAGTAGGCGCCGAATGGGGCATCAGGGCAACACCAACGTTCTTCTTCTTCTTGGACGGCAAGAAGGTGAGCTCCGCTGCAGGCGTCAACCGCTTCCGCGCTCTAATTGTCGAAATCCAAATAACAGGTGGGCGAGATTAAGGGTGCAAATGCTCCTGAGCTTCGCAGTCAAGTTGATCTTCTGCTATTCCAAGCTTTCCCTCGTACGTCCATCCGCATGATGTCATGGTATTCAAGAGACCAACATATTTTATTACAAAGCTCATCCACACACCCAGCTTTCCCTGCCGGCTGTGGAGACCCTATCGACGAACCCCATCCTTTTCTCCCAGACTCCTTCTTTGGACAATCTCGTCGCCAAGCTCGCATCTTTCGTTGATGCTCTACCCCCATCGCCGGAGGTTGCAGCTGCGAAGGAGAAGCTCTCGAAGTCATTCCCCATTTATCTCAAGGCTCGGTTCCCTCCTGCGAATAGCGGTGTGCAGCCGCCCAAGAATCTTTCTGCAAACCCTCAACTCATCTCGATGTGGGCGGGCGCTACCGCTACCCTTGCCAGCGTGCTTCCTGTAGCCCAACTTTTCCCACTCATAGACTTGTGGCGCCTTGCTTTGCTCGATGAGCCTGTCAGCTCCTGGTGTGCCACCGCTACACCGGTTGTCAATGCTGTTCACATTTTTCTGGATAAGGCCGTGGAGGCCCTCAATGGCTCGCCGACTGCACGCAATACGATTCTGGTCGTACTGCGCATGCTTTCAAATGCATTCGCAAACACTACACTCACGAAGAGCCTCCTATCAGCTACGGGTAAGCGCGCAGAAACGACGAATGTGCTCGTGTCCAGCCTGCTGCATGGTGATGCTGCGGTGCGCACCGCGGCGGCGAGCTTGGCATTCAACGTCGCCGCATTCCTGCAGAAAGGAAGGGTGGACAAGATGAAGGGGGTGAGCCCATCGGCGGGCGAGCTGGAGGAGGATGGGGAATGGGAGTTTGAACTCGTCAGTGCTGTACTGCAGGCCATTTCGAACGAGGTACAGAGCGAGGAAGTCGGTAAGTGGCTCGGATCTCCATTGGCCCATTGTGCGCCGTTTCACGCTGACACCCATTCTCCTCCTCGTAGTTCATCGACTGACAGCGTCACTCGCCTTCCTGCTCCGCCTGTCGCCCACCTATGACACTCAGATCGTTCCGCTGCTAGAGAGTTTGCAGGCACGAGACACCTTGAAGGGCAAACTGCAGAGGGGTGGCTGCGGTGAACAAGGCGTGCAGAAGAAAGAAGTACGGAATCTGGTCGTAGAAGTGGCGGAGAAGCTTTGTCCATGATTCTGGCTTTTCGTATCTAGGTATGCTATGGTAGACGGAGTGTGCTGATTTTGTTATGTGTACATGTGGTTACGTTGTGTCTCTACAGTACTTGTGCAATGAGCACATCAAGTGGTCGGCGTCAAGGGGAATAAATCGCAATCGACGATCAAGCATACAATGTCAATATGCTACCCATCCGTGAGAGACCGATGTCTGCCGCCTTACACTATATATCGCAATCTGACAGCAAAGGATCCGGAAAGTCAGTGGCAGTGAGCCATCTAGCAGTATATCGAGGGGGAGAGGAAAGCACCTTCGTGGATCGTCTCCAGCTATGGCGACGGCGCCAATATCGCTTCTTTTTTCCGGTCATTATTCAGAGGCGTTACCTCTACCGATAGCAGATCCTGGATATTAAGATACGCGTATTGGCTCTGGAGGTGGGCTTCCAGATCATCCAGCCTGCCAATAAACGACAAATTTTCGGAGAGGAGGGAGATTAATGAGGGGCGGAGGAAAACCTCAAACGTAACACGTTCGAGCAATGGACATTTTGCAGACGACAAGGGAAAAGCCTCTCTGTTTATCCAGTCGGACATCCAATCGAGCCATGGCGTCGAGACCGTATACGGTGCTTCTATGACCGCAGCGAGCGGACGTAACCGCCTGTCACGAATAATCGGTCGAAGAATAAATCGCACAGTTCGAATGCTAGCTGTATTCAAATTCCTGAGGACGAGAGGCGCCCACGCTTGGCTGGTTCTTTCTGTTGCGGACTTAATCGAGATGTCCCGGAGACGAGTACAGTGCCGTAGATCGATGTGTTGAGCTGGTCATCTTGGTTTTTAGTATGTGGCAGACGGACTGGAGACGAATGAGCTAACCTTGCAAAAATGGATAGGAATTCGAACGAAGATCCAGCTCAAGTCGTTCTAGTTGGGGACCGAGGCCGCTCAAGAGCCTCGCCACGGCAGACATATATTTCACGCCATCTTTGCCTTTCAAAGCCTCAGGACAATGCAAAGAAAGGTCTTCAAACGACTCGAGAATGGAAAGGGAAATTAAGGCATCGAGGATTTTTTCCGCAGAGGGGAATGGCAAGCAGAGCTCCAGCGCTCGCAACGGAGGCCTTGGGAAGAAGTGGGTGATCGGTTGTCTTGCACCGTAGATTATGGGACTTTCCAACGTTTGAGGGAAACTCAGCGTGTCCAATGCTGGGAATGAGCTCAGGAGTTCAACAAGATGGAGGTCCAACCCAATTATCATTCCCAATTTGAGCTTCTTCACTTTGGCAGGCATTATGGCGAACACTTGTGACACGCCAGTCGATAGAACGAAGTGAAGGAGTTTGAGGGTCTTGATGGCATGCAACGACGCGAGGATCTCCGCGAGAATCTCCGTGAGGACAGCGTGTTCGTCGAGTATGGAGATCGAGAGTTCCTTTACTGCGCCAGATATAGTCTGGTGTTCTGATCGCAAGAGAGAGACGAGCGAGCGAACTTGTCGACCAGGAAGACAGACTTTGTGAAACAATATAGCGCGTGATGTATGAACCCACTCTCGGCAGACCTGGCTGCACGCAATCAACGCGCGTGGATCGTCATGGAGGCAGTCGATGATAACGTCGCATAGCTCTGGAAACAGCCTCGGGAGTTCGGCCGGCATACTCTTTGTCGTTTGCGGGGATACGATGACAGTAGAACAGACCAACGTCACTCGCTGTACCTTTCTCGACGCAGATGCACTGATTTCGTGGATATTTCAGAACGGAAGTCGCGGCTGGTCAACATGATACGTACATGCCTGTTTCGCACAACGTCTCAGTTCATAGTCTCGGCTGAGATTCCCTCCGGGGGCTTTGTGAAGCCCTACCCAGAAGAGGTTGTTTGGTGCAGATGAAAGACACTACAAACACGATACAATAAAATCGCACGCAAAAGTCTGTAAAAAATCTTTGGGTAATTGGTTGAAACCGTGGAAGAATAGATGAAACCGCGGATAAATAATGAATCGGGATTTTGTACAGACTTTTGGGTGCGATTTTATTGTACCATGTTTGTAGTGAGACAAGCCTCGAGACGGCGCCTAGCGGCTGGGATGTACACGCGATCACGTGGTAAACGCATCCTCAGACTCCAATGATTGTCCATTGAAGGGTAATTGAAGGGCGGTCTCACATCGCAACGTGCGTACGACAAATGTTGCAAGTAAAAATGTTATCAGTGACAAATGCATATCCGTGTCTCCTAACAGAATTGTCAGTTGATCGCAACCCGAACTTCCGATGTTGTCGGTTCAAAGCCAGAGTCTTGACATTGCGTCATTTACACAAGTGACAGAAGGAAAGTGTACATGCGAGAGTCTGAGCAGCGATGCCAATTCATAATGCACATGAATTTGCAAGTTTGACTGTACATATCAACATGCTGGGTGCGCTTCAAAATTCGCAAGCGTTTGATCCGACGTCGACTAGGCGAGACAGTAATTGAAGGTAGGCTCAGAATATTATAAATGACTCTTTGACGAGCTTGACAAAACCTCACACGCATAGCGGGTTTGCTTACCGGGCTTTAAGCATGACGCACGGCGGAGTCATTCAACCACTGTCAATGAGATGCGCATCCACTGGCATATAGTAAGTCGCCAAGAACACCGCGCTGCTGCAGTCCCCTCTTGGGGTAAGCGGTGAGCAAGACAAGCATCATTATCTAGCCTCTCCAAGGATAGGTGAAACCCTCGAAAGAATTTGGAAATTTATACAAAGCGGCAGGATATAGTACTATTCGTGACCCCGCCCAAGTCGAAATCCCCTGCCAAATCATCAGTACCATGCGGAGGGTACTCGGAACGGATGCTCAGCGTCCCGCCTGGGTTTCACATTTATCGAGAGAACATTGATGGCATCGAGATGCGCTAATCGACGTCTCAATTCGCCCTCGATATATTCTCGCCCAAGAGGCATGCCGTCCGCCCGGACGGTCAGACCATCTAGCCGTACCTCACAGGTGACGCTCTCGAGGGAAGGGAACTGCCGCTGTGGAAATGGCAACGTCTTCGTGGCAGTCCAGAAGAGCCAAGACTCCCTGACAAGGTCAGTCGAATCGGGACCGAAGATGAGATGGATGCGTCGGATGCTGGTGGTCTGAAGTCGTGACAGGAAAAGAGGGAGCCAATCCGGGCGGCACACATGGCGGGCAGCGTTGCCAGCGTCGATCGTAATCTCGTGCAAATTCTTGCAATAAACCAGATTGAACACCATGTCTACAGAGAGCGTCAATCATCCACACTGCTGAGAATTCCGGTGGAGGCGATGCTCACGTTCCAAGGCCTTAACAAGACTGGAGTGGAGCTCGAGATGCAACTGTTCAACTGACGGACCGAGGAACTGAAGCAGCATCTCCAGCGCAAGTGTGTGTCCCTTTCCAAATTCCACAGGGCAGTGGATCGACAGTGATCGGATTCTGTTGATGACTTTCAGGGAAACCAGCCATTTGATGAAAACTTGGGCGTTGCCGGAATGTGAAGTGAACTCGATATGCAGATCGCGTAATGAAGATTGCCAGGCCGGCAATCTGTCAGGAAATGACCCGTGTACGAGCCGCGTGGAATTTTCGAAAAATGAGAGTGTTTCGAGCGCTTCGAAGCAGCAGAGAATATCAAACAAATCTCTGACTTCGCCGACGATGGTCGCAAGCTCTAGCTGCTTCAGTGAGTGCGCGACGGAGTAGAAAATCCGTGCTACGCCAGGTTGGAGCAACAACGTCTTGATTCGCAAGGTATCTATTGACGGCAAGCGACGGAAGATCTCCACGAGTACATCCAGCACCAGGGTGGTCGAAATGGTCAAATCACGGATGACAAACTCAATTGTGTTGAGATCCGACTCCAGGAGCGACAGGAAGGCATCGAAATGATCGGCTGTCAAGCATACAGCATGGAAATGGTGAAGGCGAGCTCGGAGGACCCAGGCACGACATGTCTCGCTGCAAGCGGCAAGCGTGCGCCGTTGATTGTGAAGATAATCAATGACAAAATCCCAGAGCTCCTGTGGCAGCCTGGTGATGCCACCCGTCGGTAGTTTCGCCATCGTCTCTCACGCGCTGTCGATCTGTATGGCGTGGATTAGAAAAATGAGATGACTATGACCTTAGCACACGCACGTATTTTGTGGATTGGTATGTCTCTGACAGCTTGGAGGTGCCAATTTCAGCGCCACTTGTTGTGAAACTTCGATAATCGAGTGATGGCATGCCACGGCGCGAGGATGGGTGGGGGCAGAACGACGCCTCGCACACACTCGCCATCTTATATCTACGTAGTCCACGCCGAGCCCACGTGTGCGCAATGTTATGTCAGAAAAGCTAGCGTCTATGATGCGTCTGTGTATGAGAGCTCCTCGGACGGCGATCAAAACGCATTCGACTCACACACGTCTGCTGACCCGGGAGTATGCGCTAATATAGCATATCTTCCGCTGGTGGGTTGTCTTCGTTGTCAACTCGTGTTGCCTGCCGGTGCATTCGTGAGTTTATCGACGCCTAGACACAGGTCTCTGCAGCGTAAGCAAGACCAGAATCCGTGAGTGTGTGTGCCGAAAATGGCTACAGAGGCCGCATGAACAGATCCGACCAAGGCCGCTGCTTTTGTGCGGTGACGTGTGCGTACGGCTCCCGCGACATTGATACAACGTCGTAAGTTAGCAGTCTGGATCCGCTCCAGTACGAGGCAGGGGAATCAGGTTATCCGAAGATGCTGTGCTGCTTTTATTAGAGATGTCTCTTGGTATCACGTTTCGGGAGTAGACGAGGCCACAAGCGGATTTCACATCCGGACCTACGATGTCAATTCGAAACACCGAGATCTCAAGAGATCGATGCGTTTGAGATCCATGGCAAGTTATCAACGGCGGCGAATAAGTGTCGTTAGTTTTGAAGGGAATTTCTCTACGTTGAATGACTCAACTAAAAACCTCTGAGACGTGAACAGGACGAAATCCGCACTTCGATTATCACCACCTGGTAACAACGTGCGCGAAGCGCATCTCGCTAAAACTGAGCGTGTATATCTCCCACAGGTGGCAATAACATACTGAGGGTCTACGTAGATCGAGGAGCGACCGAGTTCAGTCTAAGGATTCCGGCAATCAACAGATCATGAATCTTTGGCTGGACTCCTTGACTCGGTAAGAACATAGCAACGCGCACATTATCATAGCAGCTAGTGGGTCGGAAAGCCCTCTAATCATTCAAAATGATAGTCAGCGAATAGCGATTGTTGTAGGCCGTGGGACTTCATTGTCACCCGCAGAGAAAACGGTGAGTTAACGGTATGCGGAGAGTAGCCGCGTATTCGTGTGCAGCTAGCATCAACCTCGTGTGTGTGGTCGCCTAGCTGGCGTTATCCAGATTCTGCCCACCACGACCTAGATCCGCAAAGTGGTTTGATCCACCTGCATCGTGTTGTGAAGCATGCATGCGCAGAGTTGCTTGAACAAGACTTCCGGTCTAAGAGCCAGCCAGACAAGAGCGAGTCTCGGTCAATGCAAGGAGAAATTTGTCAATCACGGAGTTCGGGTCTGGGACGGAAATAGATAATCTTACTCAAACCATCATATACATACCTCGGCACGCATTGCGGCGCGTGCATACCCAACTGCAGATGCCTGCTGTGATAGCGCGGTGATCACCAATGCTCCAGACGTGCAGAGTCTCGGCGAGGGCACGGTCCTGGATCATTATCGAGCAAAGATAAGTCTAAAAGGAATAATGTAAGTCGGGTTTATCTGTTCATAATTGAGCCGGAAAAGGGCGTCATAGGCACGTCAGTACTTTGTGCGAGGCCCATCCAGCCAAAGCCTGCCTCGCCATGCGGTCGGACCAGATTCGCGGACATCACAACCGTCAGCGCTCAGCGGCGGTATTGATACCCATCGACCTCCTATAAAGCCCCTCATCGCTGTTGCCAGTGACCAACAGCACCATCTCTTCTACGTTCACGCAGGTACAGATCACAGAATGACGACCGCCGCCGTCGCACAGCTCCAGGCAGAGGTTAAACGCCTCCAACATGAGCTCTCCACAGTCAAGGCGCACGAGCAGGCTCCCGCCAACAGCGAGCAGATCTATGTCGGGCAGTACCTTGTCGAGCGATTGGTGCAGCTTGGTGTCACTGTGCGCGAGCATTCATGCTTTGATAGCGATGAGCTGATTGACGCTGCTTTAGAAAATGTTTGGAGTGCCGGGAGATTTCAACCTCGGTAAGTTTCATTGATGTGCGTCTCGAGTAAATCTGTCCTGATCGTATGATGCAGGATTTCTCGTATGTCCATGGCGATTGGTTATCGATTGCCATCGCTGACCATCTCTACAGGACTTCGTAGAGGACCACCCGAAGATAGATTGGGTTGGCAACTGGTGCGCTCTATTCCTCAAATTCGGCGCATATATTTAGTCGTTTGTCGTTTAGCAACGAGCTGAACGCCGGGTATGCCGCCGATGGCTATGCACGAGTGAAGGAGACCAGCATGGGTGTGATCACTACGACGTGAGTCCTCATCTGATGATGTCATGAGGTCAGTCTTACAGTCCCATTACAATAGCTTCGGCGTCGGAGAGCTCAGCGCGACCAATGCTATTGCCGGAGGTAAGTGTTCTGCGAGTTAGGTCCGTTCGTCGCATCTGATGAGCCTTTTAGCATTCTCCGAGCATGTTCCGGTCCTTCACATCGTCGGTGTGCCGAGTACTTTGCAGCAGAAGAATAAACCAATGCTTCACCATACTCTCGGTGATGGACGGTGCGTATACGCCCTCCTTGGTCAAGGAATCGGGAGTTGACAGACGAACATAGATATGATGCATACTTCCGCGCCGCACAGCAGTTCACCATTGCCGCAACAAGCCTCGAGTCCAAACAGACGGCTGCTGCCGAGATCGATCGTGTCTTGACTGAATGCATCGTCCACGTATGCACGCACCTACTGGCTTTGGGTAGAGGTATTCACTATGTGCGCTCTTTATAGGCCCGCCCCGTGTACCTCATGCTTCCGACCGATCTCGCATACGAGCGCATTCCTGCGTATCGTTTGAAGACGCCTCTCAGTGCCGAGCCACCCGCAAACGATCCTGATGTTGAAGCATTCGCACTCGATGAGATCGTCAGGCTGGTTGAAGAGGCTGGTCAGGATGTCATCATCCTTGTTGACGCCTGTGCGATCAGACACAACGTGAAGAAGGAAGTTGCTGAGCTGGTCAAGCGGACGGGGTTCCCTGCATACGCTGCGCCGATGGGTAAGACTGCTATCGACGAGCAGTATGAGCGATATGGAGGAGTTCGTCCTCTCCGTCTATGTTTCTAATCTCAAGGGTTTATTGGCGTTGAACAGATCTATGTCGGTTCCATCAGCCACCCAAAGATCAAGGAAAAGGTCGAGAATGCGAAGCTTATCCTCTCTATCGGTGCGCTCAAGAGCGACTTCAACACTGGTAACTTTACATACCATATCCCTGCTAACCGGACCATCGAGGTCCGTCGTTCTTTTCCCTTGCTATCCACATCTCTAATATGACTACGTTGCACACGTTTAGCTGCACTCCACGAGCGCTACGGTGCAGTTTGCTGAGTTCCCAGGCATTGGCATGAAGCGTCTTCTGCCTAAGCTTACTGAACGGTTGCACCCCATGAAGCAGGGCGCTCTATCGCTCCAGGTGCCGCATTTCAAGTACCCTTGTCCGAAGGAGGACAATGAAGATATTACGCAGTCTTGGCTGTGGCCGCGGATGGGTGAATTCTTCCGTCCGAAGGATATCATCGTTGCAGAGACGGGCACGTCCAGCTTTGGTGTGCTCGAGGTGCCGTTCCCGTCGGATGCGATGTTCGTTAGCCAGATCCTATGGGGTTCGATCGGGTGGACGATCGGTGCGACGCTGGGCTGTGCCCTCGCGGCACAAGACGCGGGCTACAAGAGGACGATCCTCTTCGTTGGTGATGGCAGTCTGTGTGTCTCAGATTCTCTCAGACCTCAATGTTTCTGTTACTGATGATTGCTTTCCAGGCAACTCACTGTGCAAGAGCTGTCCGTGATGATACGCTCGCACGTGAAGCCGATCATTTTCGTGCTCAATAACAGCGGGTACACGATCGAGAGGTACCTGCACGGTATGGAGCGCAAGTACAACGACATCTCGGACTGGTGAGTAATGCCCGGTTCATGCTATTCGTCCCAACACCTCATATCCTTTCCGTAGGAAATGGACGAAGCTGCTCGAAACCCTTGGTGGTCAGGAGGGCAAGACCTCTCAGTCATACAAGGTCTCCACAAAGACGGAGCTGTCGAAGCTGCTGGACGACCCGAAGTTCGCCGCGGCGGAGAAGATTCAGCTTGTTGAGATGACTATGGACCCGCGCGATGCGCCGCGGGCCCTGAAGCGCCAGGCCGAGCTCAGCGGCAAGACTAATGCTTACGTCGCGGAGTTGCCAGAGGGGAAGGGTTTGGGCGAGGCTGTCTAAGGCGAAAGTTGTGTGACGATGCAGAATAGAGTTCAGAAGTGTAAATGCAGACCGTAGCAAGAGCATCGGGCTTTGTGGTCATGTACGTTGTACGCTTACTACCAAGTGAAAGGCTTTTATCATGTCTACGGTTGGGCGTAAATATTCGGATTCTTGCCGTGCTCGTGAGCTCCAAAGAGGGAGGGGAGATATTGAGGGCCAATTCCCATGCTGGTCGTCGCCACTCTCGGTACTTCACATAGATAGGCGAACTTGTAGGACCACTGCAGTATCCTCTGTACATATCGCAACCTCTACTCTGTTTGACCTGGCATCCTGACCGTAAGTTTCGTGAGTTATATTAGTCCATCGGTAATCAACACGGATCGTGAGGTATAAAAGGGCATGAATTGTATATGGTATCCGCTGTCCTTAAGACAAGAGCTATGCAGCTTGTATGGTGCTTGCGCCATTGATCATAGAAAGCTCTTCCACCATTGTCTGTCGTCTGTACTCCAGTCGCAGGTTCGGCACGTCCGTCTGCTCAGGCGTCAGCGCCGCTGGGACTTGTCATGTACACGGACGACATACCTTGTTGATATCGTTACCGGCAGCTCCAGGCAGATACCAGTATTGTCCCAGCCAGTGTCGTTTGAGTTCCATCTCGAACCCGCTCTGAATCACCGAATTGCGCGCGAGCTCGGCAAGGGAGCTTTGTGGTAGCTTGTATATCTGTTGTTGTACCAGGAGCGATCAGCTTCATGTGGGATGGTGATAGGAGTGTTGCGACTTACGTGAGCCGCGACGCTGTACTCCTCCAATAGTGGTTCCTGATTGATCGAACTTGAGCGTACGTTCCGGGATGAAGCGAAGTGCGCCGTTGATAGCTTACCTTGGTGAAATGGAACTGCAACGGGTCATCGGTGCTCAGGCTGACGTTCAATCCTACTTTGAAAAAGTCCGGTAGGGGATTGCGCTCGTATGTCAAGAACAAAGCATTGTTGCTCAGAGGACTCATCGCAAGCCCAATTTGCTTCAGGTAGAACAGGTATTGGAGAGCAGGCACTTTGCGGAGGAGGATGCCGTGGGAGATGGAGTGCGCCGTCAGGAAGGCGGACGTCAGATGGTCTGTATCTCCTGCTTCTCCGCTATGGGGCCGGAAGACGAAGGTATCTGCGTGGTTCGCACGAATGAACTCTTCATGCTGCAAGGAGGGAGCGATGGATATGACGCACTGAATCCCCTAGCTCGCCGCCAATGGTTCAGACTGGCCATGTTTGCGAACATGTAGTATACCCTAACAGTGTGACGTATATCACGATTGTTCTTCACTGATGTAAGAATTGATAAGTACCAGTATGAATACGGAGGCGACTCCTTCGCATTCCACAGCCGCGGGTATGGAAACTTCCTGTGGAATCTCCGTTCAGCTTTCGACTCGTCGTCCACGGTGTCAAAGCCGATGACACGCTGCAGAAAGACATGCAGCTCGGGATGAGACGATGGGTCGCGCGTGACCTCGAACAATGGTCTGAAAACGTCTAGATCCGTCATCAGCAGATATTCGTTACACGACGCATGGGGCGAGAACTGACTTTGCACGACATCCTCGAAGGTCTCGATAGACCCGTTTTGCTTGTAAACATCGTACAGACGCGGGATTTGGATGAGCCAGCGGACGTTGTGCGAGTACAGCTTGTTGTGGACAATCCATCTTGCAAGCTTATCCCACTCATCCGCCTTGCGCCCGTAGATGCTAACTCGCCATTCGCAGTTCTGCGCGGTGCTCAGCTCAGCAAATGATTGTCTGTGCAAACATAGAACTCACTTGATATTTACTCTGCTCAAGATCCGTCATTACCTCTGCAGGCCCAGTCAGTCGCGCACTAATGCGGATGATCCCGATATGATAAAGAAACCTTTTGTGAGCTCAGCCAGATATCGACCAGAGATGTAATTGTCCGTCTTCAAGAAGATTTCTCGTAGTCTCGATTCTCCAATAGGATTGTATTTGAGATTGAATTTGTCAAATCGATGGAAAGAGTCTAAATGTGCATGCATGTCTAGGGTGTCGATCGAGAGATCGTATGCTGTGAGGTTCAAAGATTTGAAGACCTCTGCTAGGGTCAGTTCCTTGCCGTCGCGGAAGATCACGACATCCTATGAATGTGAGAAAGGTTAGCCAACGCGGAGATGGAGAGCAGAAAAGGCGAACATCGGGGCTCTTCCTCATTTTTGCTTTGATGAAGCGCAGAAGGTGTTTCTGGTTCATGCTGCTGGAATGATGCACATGTGTGTCCACTTTTCGTAAATTGTAAAAGTCGCTGCAGCCTTCGGGTGTTAAATTGGGTCGAGTCTGTTAACAAATATGCACGAACCGGTGAGGTACTCTCTGAAGGGCGCAGAGAGTCAAGAACTATCTACGCCTATAGCAGCGTTATGACGTACTTTAATTTCCGCCAGCTCTTGAGTCTCGTTCAGGAGGAGATACATGGTGAACTTGTTTGAGAGATAGTTCAGCCTTCGGAATGCGAAGCTTTTTGTAGGACCATCGGAAATGACTCCAAGGACATATTCTAAGTCCATGAAGTATTCTCTGATACTTGGAATATCGTATGCAGGCACTTGATCTAATGATCCCGCCTAAATTATATCCATACGTAGCAACTGGAGTCTTTGAACGCACCATCCGCCCGATCGTATACTTGGAACACACCCTTCTCGTCAATCTCAAAGCGCCTACTGTCTGGACCAGGAATCTCGCAGTTCTCAAATAAAAATACTTCTTCATCCTCATTTTCGGAGCCGGTGTTGCTCGGTATCAGTTGGTTGGCGCCTTTCCAGTGCCAATGCGGAGGCGGGGGCTTCGGGTAAATCCTCCACTTATTGAACGGGCTTTTCGGTGGAGGATGCGCTTCGTAATCTACATCAGGGCGCACGCCGCAGACAGTTGCAACATCGTCATCTAGACCTGTGAACGCGCCATCATAGTCCTTGGGATTGAAGCCCAAATCCTGGCCGGAACGGAGCATGTATTTATCCCGGAGTTCCAAGCACTTTTTGAGCGACTCAAAGATGGGCACGAACTCTGCTGACAACGGCGATGCTGCCAAGGCTTCAGATCATTGACTGAATGCGCTCGCTGGGATGAATACCGTGGATCTGTGCCATCAGCCATTGCTCCTGCGGTGTTCCCTCTCGCGCGATGCTGCCGTTCGGTTCTGGCACAGACAGCTTGAGGCTGCCTAGCTGAGCTGCGAGCTCTGGGTGCACATGTGCATCTGGCCGCAGGTGAGGAGAGTTCAGTGCCGAGATAGGCCGCGACGCCGTCCCAGCGTCGGAGCCGCGTCTATGGGCCCACATCTTCTCTTCGATCTGCAACGGACGAGTGCCACATTCGTGGGTTGTGTCAGCGGGTGGGCGTAAATGGAGACTGGACGCACATGGTGCAAGGTCTTCTCCTCGTTATATCCAAAGTACCCGTCCTTCACTCCAGGCGCACGCACGCCCTCGTCGGCTGAGTGGTTGGATTCCTGCGACGAGCTGCGGGCGGGCGAGAGGCGTGTCGCTTCATCATCGGATTCCACGCGTGGATCCTCAAGCAAAGCAGACATGAAGGGCAAAATCAGTCTATTGTGACGGCGAGCACGATGGGTTTCGGGGACAACGGCTTGCCAGGGACGACGGGCAAAGCAGGTTAGGCGCTCGTAGTTGAAGAGGAAACTATGAGTCCAGGAAAGGAAGGCGTAGTGTTGAGCAG